TACTGTCCCATCATGATCTGGTGTTTCTTCTCCACTCTTGAAACCACCATGGTTTTAGTTTTGGAGATACAAGTAAGGGTTTAACTTGCATCCAAAAAAAATAAAAAATATTTGCAATGTTTGTCCCACTGCACTGGCAAGAATTCATAATTCATAAAAACTATTTTATTTTCATGTGAGTATGTGTTGCGTCTGTGTTTATGTGTTGTGTCTGTGTTTATGTGTTGTGTCTGTGTTTATGTGTTGCGTATGTGTTTATGTGTTGTGTCTGTGAGTGAGTGAGAGAAAGTGTGTGTGTGTGTGAGCGCGCGCCTCGTGGATGTCTGCATGTGTATTTGAAGATATGCATTTGCCATCCATGCTTTTGTATTTTTTAATTTACATTCATGCCATGAATTTTGATATATGAGATTAATATGCTTGATGCATAAAATACTATTGAACTGGCATGTGAAAAATGAATATCTGAAAGGGCCGAATGTAAGACAGGTCTGAGTGCCCAATTGTTGCTTTGTGGAAATTAAGTTCATTCTTTCATATTTACTTAGAAGACATAAAAAAATGCATGTGTGTCACTACTATCCAACAGGAAATGTTCAATCCTTGCTTACAAATGACACACCTAAAATAGTTCTTGCAAAACAAATGTATTTTTAACTAACAAATTCTCTTTAGATAAAATATGAAAGCAAACACGTAACAGCACCAAATACCATGTATTCAATCCATTACAGAAAATAAATACAACTGATGAACAAATAACATACATTTTGTGTTAAATAAATTAAGAAAGAAAAAAAAAAACAATGAATAAATAACAGAAATTATGTCACCACTTTTTTTAAAACTTTTTTATTTATTATGCTTGAACATAGTTGTTGTAACACAGGTGTAACCTGTACTTTCAACAAAGCCAATGTTACAACTCAGTGATTTTTTACTCAGTTTCAAAAACTCAAATTTAGAATCAGCACTTTCAAATGCTCAGAATATTCCAGTATCACTTTAGTGAACTGTCTCTTCGAGCCATTGAACAAAACTAAATACAATACGTTAATGAATAAAGCACATCTGCCTGTGTGGAACCCGGAGATCTATTGTGGTGAAGAAAAAGAAAGAATAGGCACTGCCACCCCTAAAAAGCATGCAGTAAAAGTTACGGTGTTTCTGTTGAAGTTGGAGTGCGTCTGCCTGACAGGCGAGGAATCAACAGTCTGCATCCAAATAAGCCAGTTCTGTCCAACAAATGTGCACGCAAAAACCCAATTTCTTTAACAAAACCTTAGTACAGAAGTAGACAACCAGGGCTTTCTTTCAGTGAAGGCAAAGAAGGGAAAACTGAAACACAATAATAAGATAATAATGTAAAAATGTTGGTGAAAAAATGACTACTCTACTTCAGTCAAGTGCTTTAACTCTTTCTCTATTTAAAATCCCTTTGTTCTGAGTCATTTTCTTCATGCGTCCCAACCAACATCTCATGTCTGACAGTACTTACATGCAGTCAGCATAACTGAGAAACAAATAAATAAAAAGTAACATGTGCTATTTACAAGGTATAGTTCTCTTGGAGTCAAACACTTATTATTATTAAAAAAAAAAAAATTTATTATACCCCTCCTCCATCGGACAGCCGCTGTGTTCTTCAAGAGTGGGAGATTCAACAAAGTTGCCAGTTAGGGATAAATATGTTTACATATGGTCACACAGAAGAACTAAGTTTCCAGTATGGCTAGCCTTATTCATATGTGTGTATGTATGTGTGCATGTGTATGTGGTGCATTTTTATAAACACACACATACAGTAAGTTAATAAAGTAAAGGACCATTTTCCACGCCTTCAGATGTACTAGGCATATAGGGCTAGACCTATATTTTCTAAACCGATGGGCACTTGGTGGGTGATGTGGTCAGCATCACGCTGGCCGTCTTTACTTCCCAGGACTTGTACCTGGTACCCACTCAAAGCAGGATCAACCACACACACATATATATCTTCTGTATTATAAGTTCAAAGCTCCATTCTGGGGAAGGGGGGGGGGGCAACCACAGGCCCTAACAAGTAATTAGTAAAAAGAAATTAGCTGTTTGCTAAATCAGATGTGCTTTGTTGGCACCAAAGGATATTGCAGGCTAGCTGTAAACCACAACAAAAAGTGCCTACAGGTCTTTTCAGGGTGAACGCAGAAGAAACACACATACATAAATACATACACACTGCTAAAATAATCTACCAAACTGAAACTGCATCAAGCCTGTTACATCACTGTGAAAACATGTTTCACACAGCTTAAGCAAGTTGCATGTTTGATATTTCATACAAAGCTGCCAGGATTCATACACAACTCTCATGTTAGTGAAGAAAATGATGGCTTGGCTAATGGTTTATCAGTTATAGCAACTACATTTCTATTCCAATGCATGTCACAGGCAAAGTACTCAACAAGGACCGGCACTGAATAAAATGCTGCAGATGCAACAAAAATGGAAAGATGACTCAGTGTTTTTTTAAATGCTGCAAGAATACCCAAAGTGAAAATATCTGGGTACTTTTCAGTCTATGCTACTCTTTATCTTAAAAAAAAAAAAAATTACCTGAATCATACAATTTTATTAGGTTTGATTCTCATTATCTTGACTTTAAGCTCAGATGTCATTGACGGTTAGCATCCTTTGGATCTTTCCTCAGGATATGCAGGTGTGTTGGGAAATGAACAAGCAAACCAACTGGCTGGTGCTGCAGTACTAGGAGTGAACTGGGGCATGACAAGCTAGATGTGGTCAAAACTATTTGGGAGAAGGGAACAATCTGAAAGCACAAATAGATCATTACAGTCTGGAGAGAATTGTGGGTAGTGACCAGATGTTCAGGCCAAGAATTTTTAATTGTTAGTAAAACACAAGTGTCAAACATTTCAAGAAATCTTTCAAGAATGCCTTGTGGGTTGAAAGGCAAAAGAAGTGCATGGGGGTTTATAGCAAAAGCTAATGGATGACCTTTAGTGCAACAAAGCCTCACATTAAATATCACAACATCTCGTTTGAGAATGGAGGTAGAGGCAGTCACTGCAGCCTTCTGTTGGCTTGAGTATCAGCTGCACACACATGTTGTCATTGTAACTGACTCACAATGCATGCTCAGAAAGGTGGAGACAGGTGTGCTTCATGCAGAGTGGCATGCAAAGCTTCAGAAGTCCAGGGTACTTAGTATCCTTTGGAACTTTTCTCCAGTGCATGCAGGTGTATTAGGAAACGAACAGGCAGACAGACTTGCTGGCTCTGCACCACTGGGTGGTAAATTTGTGCATGACAAGCTAGATGTTGTCAAGGCTCTCTGGGTGGGAGTGAAAAGTGTGGAAGCACTCAGATTATGCTTAGGCACTCAGATTATCATGGTATGAAAAGAATGGTGTAACGGGGAGGAACTAGAGAATCTGGCCGGCACTCCACACTTAGAAAAAAAGGCAAGATGCACTTACAATCAGACTGTTGCTGATACTATCAAACAAAATGCCTTGTCAACACCGTATTAGGCAAACATTAAAAGAGGAGAAGGATGCAGAACGAATGAACAAACTTGATTTTTAAAGGGTTGAGAACTGAGCATTCTGCTAGTCTAACATTCTACCCCTTCTGATCTCACTCCTTTCATACATCAATTTATTCACAAATCTGTTAAACAATGGTTATAGCACAAGGCAGACCAAGAACAAGATGGAAAGATAACATCAGAGAAACTCTACAACAGAACCATGTGTCCATGGTCGAGGTGTCCAACAAGCAGCAGAACCTTATATCTCTCTCGACACTCGAAGTAGAAACAGAAGAAGTGAAGCAGAAGAAAAAGATACTATTTGTACTGACTTCACAATTCTATACCTATTATGTTTTTGAAACATTTGATTAATTTATGTCTTAATAATTGTACAGGTGAAAACAACTTTATTTTTACATATTATATTTTATTCTGATTTCTTATTGGTTTAATCTGCAGAATATTTTGTCAAATCACTAACTCACACAGATGAAACTTATAATTCAAGAAAAATATTTAATTACTACATATTCACTCATTAATCTCTTAAACCCTTTATCTCTGCATTAAGACTAGTAATTTCAGCTGTTTAATTGCAATATTTACTATTTAATCCATGAAATTTATAATATCAGCTGTTAACAATACCTACTCATTAATCTGTGATATCAATAATGTAAGCTGTTGGAATTAGAATATCTACTCAGTAATTTGTGACACTCATAATGTAAGCTTTTTAACCACAATACCTACTCATTAACTGTGACACCGATAATGTAAGGTGTTGGAATTACAATATCTACTCAGTAATCTGTGACACTCATAATGTAAGCTGTTTAACCACAATACCTACTCATTAACTGTGACACCGATAATGTAAGGTGTTCGAATTACAATATCTACTCAGTAATCTGTGACACTCATAATGTAAGCTGTTTAATAACAATACCTACTCATTAACTCTGACACCGATAATCTCAGCCCACTCATTTGTTGTTATTTCACTTATTAATGTGTAAAGTTCTTTCATTTTCTGTGAGGTTTCTTTTATTATCCCACTGACATGAAAATTCACTAAAAATCTTTCACTTTTATTACCCTGTTCCAAAACAATGAAGACAATATCTGACACTATTTATTTTATGGTGGCAAAAATGTTACGAGACATTCACTGTTATTATCCAGCCGCAGCAAAGTGCATTGTATTTGTTAAGAAATGAGAAAAAACACACACCAGCAAATATTTATCATTCTATACATTAAAAAAAAATGCAACAAGTATTGGTGTCTAAAGCTGTGAATGATAGAAAACAACAAATAATTCAATCCATGTGTTCACTGCAAATTATTAATTACCGACTCTTGCAAGTCAAGACTTAGGTGATACAAGATCAAATTTAAACTGTGTTTCAGACAAACAGGCAGTCTCAACAGAAAATATTTCATATTATAGTCAATAACCGATTCAAAGCTGATTTTTATGCCAGATCCAACGTTTGCATGCATGGTCAAAGTTGTGAGACAGCCACTGTGATTCTAAAAGCTTATATCTAGCCATGCTTAGGTACAGAGGCTTGCCTCTCCTGAAAGAAAATAAAAACAGAAGAAATATGGTAAATGTCGTTAACAAATAAATAAAACAAATAATCATAAACATGTGGAAATATATCCCTGAAACATTTTGGTCCCATTATGAGAAGATAGAAAAACCAGTACATACTGTAAAGACTGGAAGGATTTAAAAAGAAAAAAAAGGAAGACAGCAGTAATAATAAGAAGAACTCCACAGGGAAACAAATACAGCAGGAGTTCACCGATCATTAGTAGAAGATCCCTCGTCGATAATTGTTTCGGCCCATCAACTCCTAGACGATTTCAGAGGGTGGGCTGACCTGGGTCATGACTCCCAGGCCTCAAACTTTTCCTGCTGCACTTTACCGGATGTTCTCAGACAGGGACAAGACGAAATGGTGACTATGCAACCGGTACTGCGAAATTTGAAGTTAAAAATATATTGTCGCTGAGGTAGCCAATTAGACTAGCCGGCTACCTTAACGACAAAGTGGCAAGCTTATGGTTGGTTCATCGGACACATGTTAGACTTTGGCAACTGGCAGAGGGACACTGGCAGACATCAATTGGACACTTTGGCTTTTAAGAGATAAGAAGCTCCGTTCCACCAGGGACTCAGACCAGTCTATCGAGGCCCATCCCCCACAACGTTCCGTTGCGTCCAGAGCCAGCTCAAAGCTCTTTCAGCAGCTTCGCCCAGTTGTTTTAGTGACCGTTTACACTCGTTACCTCGCAAGCCCAGCTGCTTTAGCACAGTGTATGTGGAAGTGGAGATAAGAACTCTTGCCCCTACCTCGATAGCAAGGATTTTCATACATACTGTAAAGACTGAAAAAAAAAAAATGAAAGGAAGACAGCAAGATTCTAGATAGACATTCATCTTGGCAGTCAAATTAGGATTCTGTTGGACATTAAGAGCTGTGGATAAGCATTATGTCCCATTTTTTGTTTATTCTTTACGAAACAAAAAAAGTCTACATGTTCTACCCTGCTGGAAAACAGTTTTGGTTACAACTGTGGTATCGTTTTATTTGCGTCAAGTTCATTCGCTTAACCTGATATCCCACATCACCTAACAAAGGTTCTTGAAGATGATGTTTTGAACACCAGTAGACATACTGATAATGTAGAGCTTTGGGAGAGAACTAAATTCCAGTAAATCACGAGGTGAAGAAAAGAGGCTGGCACTGGACAGGACACACACAGAGAAAAATATAACTGGAATGTCTTTACACTGAAACAAAAAGGGTTACAGAAATCAAGGCAGACCAAAAAACATGAGGAGAAGGGAGCTAGAGAGGGAAGTTAGAATGGTAGAGAGGACTTTGGCTGAGCTGCTTGTGATTAGAGCAAAGCATAGTATGACCTGGTGTGAGTTGGTTGATAGCCTATTCTCCAATGGGGGGAGATAAAGGGCAGAAGAAGGTATACTGAAGATACAGCTATCTTTTAATGCCTTTTATCTCCCAATGGAGCACAGACCCTCGACGAACTAAAAACACACCCTCCTACACTTTGCTTCATTCTGTGGCTCCTTTCATTTCTTGCTCATGATATTCACCTCTGACTCAAATTATCTTCTCCAGGTATTTTTAATTCTCTCTTAATATTTCTTTTGCAGTGTGGGTTCTAAAAAACTTCTCTTTATCACTATTAACAGGTCTTTTGAATGTGGGTCCTACTCAGAGCCAGCAGCTTTTCCTCATCCCTTGATTCACTTGAGTTTGTGTAGTTCTCTCCCCAAGCTCCATGATTGTGGATACCAGACACCCCACCCCTTGGCCACACATAATTTCTAGGTGCGCGCACACACACACACACACGCACACACAAACAAATCAGGAGTTGGGTAAAAGAGCCTAATCCTGGTGCAAGAGCGCAATACAGCGCTGAATGGTAAATGAATTTAAAACAATATGAGATGTGCAAACAAATACTTGTACAAATACGTTAAAGGGGAACTGTTAGCCTTTTCATGAAACTGAAAAGAAGGAAGGGGGACCTCAGCCCCCAGATCATGGGGCTCTTGCGAAAAGTCCATACCAACTGTCCCTGCTGCGAGCTTGTTAGCTACATGCCAAAACCATCATTTGGCCACTAAGGTCAGATCCATACTGGGTTCACCATTACAACAGCTATAACTGAGAAGATTCATCAATAGATGTGCCAACCAGTACACAGGTGTCCCCTTCTTATACTTCTCCTTCTCTTCTTCTTCTTCCTTGCGTTCACCAGCTGTAAACTCTGGTAGGAAGTTCTGGTTGGTCATCCACTTCTGGACTTTATTCTTGTTCCAGAACCTGAGTTAAGCAAATGCATCCATTTTACAGATCTGGCTTATCTGTATGCAGACTGCTGGCTTCCCGCCTCTCAGGCACATGCACTCTGACTTCAAAGAAAACACAACTTATTAGTAGACTTTTCTGACATCCTTGTTAGGGAGGAAGTAGGTCTATTCCCTGCTTCCTCTCCGGGGCTCCCGCAACATATATTGGAAACACAGGCGTCAGTTACTGCCCCTCTAGTCAATGCTAGATATTCTTGTGGGGCATGACCAGCGTAAAATTGTCATTAGGATATTTCCAGGAACTGAAAGTGGATGGTGTGATACTGACCCCACCATTCAATAAGTGCTGACCGGTCTCACAATATGGAGCTAGCATCATATGCCAAGGGAACCATGGTGGCATAGAGGATAAACACTCGCCTGAGGATTTAGGGTTCAAATCTGCATTTTCTTTTTTTTTAAATGAACCTTCAATTTCAGATCAACCCAGCTGAAATAAGTAGCAGGTAATGTCAAAGAAAGTAAAGGTGGCTAGAGTGATGGTGACATCACCCACTGAGTATCTGCCAATCGGTCTATACAAATATGAGGTTAGCACCATGTACCCAATGTGCCAGTGGCATAAAAAAAAGGGTCCTTTACTGATTACTTTACTGTTACCATATAAGAAAAGTGCCTCAAAATATGAGAAAAGGTCTTTTTAATTAAAAAAACATTTTTTTTTTAAATTTATAGTTAAGGAATTAACAAATCAAGAAATTACTGAAGAGTTGAAAAAAAAAAGTGCATCTTGTTTTATATTTCATACTTAAGATCTCGGTCCTCTTCTCCATGCTCATCTAGATAGACTGACCCCCACAGGGTGGCTCTGGGACCTCTGATGACCACTATCAGACTTGAGTTGATCAGCAAGAACATGCTCGTTCCAGCTCCGCAATAAATGGAATGCTTTAAAGAAAGTCATTAATTTTTTTTAATGTACAAGAAAAGTCCTTTTTATGTTCAGACAAAGAAATTAAATATGATATAATATGAACATGAAAGGCTATAAATCAAAGAATATGATAAAAGATGAACATGAACGGCTATAAATTAATGAAATGAAATGACACAATATGGACAAGGATGGCTATAAATCATAGAAAAAAAATATGTCAATACATTCTTGGCATATCACACAGAGACCACATCTCAAATGACAAAATTTGCCATATACTACCAAGCACACTGGCAACCATGAACCGCTTTTGAACTACAGCGAAAAGGCAGAAAATGCCATTCTACGGACATATAAAAGATCTAACGGTCTCTCAAAAACTACAGAGTTCAGTAGAGGGGAAAAGGAGAAGAGACAGATCAAGAAAGACCTAGTTACAGAACCTGACTGATTAGACAGGCCTTAGGCATGCAACCATGAAGTCCATCGCATCTGACTGTCAAAGGTGGAGGCAGTTGATCAGACAGACAAACAGCAACTGGTGACCCAACGACACGCAGTGTCACGAGTCCCAGTAGTTCTTCTAATCCAGTGGTCTCTACAGGTTTTGGTCAGAATGCATTCTTAATCTAAAATTTTCAACTGTAAATATATAGCAACTGCTTTTGAAAACAAATAAACAAAAAAGTCAATGGCTTTTAGGTTTATAAATAGTTGAAAAAAAATATTTTATTAATTTGTTTATAATTAAACTGAAGAAGTAATATAACGGGTTATTACAAAAACAGATGCACTTAATTTCAAAATTATGTGACCCCCCCCCCCCCCCCCCCCCCCCCCCCATTCCCCCCCCCCACCCCCCCCCCCCCCCCCCCCCCCCCAAAAAAAAAACATCTCGTGCTACCTCCAGGTTGGAGACCCCTGTTCTAATCTATTCATTTCTCACACTGCCTTTCTCAGACATCTCATTTCAAAGACAGTTTTCTCTCATAATATTCGCTTAATATCTAGTTCTGACACTGATAACCTAAAGATGGTGTCAAGATTGTTTTTAGAAAATTTGCTTTTTTAAAATCTCTTTTGGGATATCAGGGTTTTGTAAGACTGGCGTAAGTCGGATATGTGACACTGCTGAATTCTTGTTTCTAACTCTCTGTCTCATCTACAACTGTATGTAAAGATGAGTATTTTCTCCGACTTCCGTTTTCAAAATGGTGAATAGCAGGGATGTTTGTTTTCACTGGTTGTCAATTCTCTCAGACTGTGCTGTTCTCTAATCATGGACTGCTATTTTATGCACATTTCCAATGCAGATATTATGTGTTTATCAAGGCAGCAACATGTATTGTGGTTGGGCTATGCAGGATAATGACAGACAGTTTTGGCAGCCTCGACCACGCCGCCTTCGCAATGATTAAATGGCGGCTGCCCACCTAGGAAGACAGAAAAACATCTGCAGGGGACTGCAACTGCATAAAAAGCTGTCCCCAGCAACAGAATTTGTCAACCATTTTTTTTTTGGTGGGTAGGAATCGACACATACGCTTAACTTAATGGTCATGGCCATATATAAAGATGCTCCTCAAATAATTACATTCCTGTACATGTTTCAAGCTTCTGTCTTTTACCTTTAAGTTGATATTTTGATGTTCTCTGCCTATAATCATCATTTATGTGTTTTACATTTTTGAAAAATATGCTGAAAAATACACAGGCAGGTAACGTGTCAAATGTACGAGGATTAGCTAAAATACTTACACGAACACTCTCGTAGACTGACTCCTGTTGACAACACATCTCCCTGAAGCACAGAAATTTACCACAGACAAGACAAATGGCCGGATCTTTAGGGCTGTTCCCACAGTGGGCACACTTGGACGAGCGGTACATTTGAAAAATCTGGTAGTAGCGCTTATGCAGTTTTATGAGGCTAGGTTTTTGCCAGTTTGGATTCAGCTGTAGCAAGAACTACATTGAGGTGGGGAAAAATATGGCAATAGGTAATTATATCATAGATACTGCTGCATGAATGTTGAATGTTGAATTAAGAATCTACATCACAGGACTTGGGTCACTCCCAAAAGCACTCTGTTCCCATCTTCAGCAGCAAGCAACAAGTTCCAATTTTGATGGTACCAGTAAGTGATTTAATAACCGTCTCCCCCCCCTTTCAGATTTGAGCGTCGACCAGATCCCCTGGTAATTGTTACTGCTGCACTGGTGTGAATGTGAGGATTTCACTTTGCATGGCTTGATCGAGTGAGGTGATCCTAACTTATCATCATTTCCTTTCCCAATCAATCAATCAATCAGTCAATCAATCAGGCAGTGCCTTCACAATGGATCTCTAACACTGCCTCATTAATTCGGCAACCCATACATGGTATTTTTCATTTTGCTCAAAGATATTTCTGCTATCATTTTATGTTTCTCAGCTTACCTGCTTATACTAAAATTACCAGTACGGGCAGAAACATTAATTGGGCAATTTTTCTGGAAATGAAATGATAACTCGTAAACTACCTAAATGAAACAAAATATTTTGCAAAAAGAAAGCTATCAAATAGACACAGTACATCTACACAAATAAAATATGCGGTCTATCCCATCAGAGACAGACAAAGCCCAAAAGGTAATAGTTAAATATATCTGTATATTATGTACTGGCAAAGAAAAGTTCTAAATGATACCGTTGCCAGATAGGTCACAATTTTAACCTACTTTGGCTTCTTGTGGTGCTGCATTGGCAAAGTCAGTAATGTGGACACACCAAGCTCTGACTAAAGAGTGAGGCTCTTCCACCACCCAGCGTGTGCATCTTGTGCTAGAACAATCATCCTGAGATGCTTCCGCTGGCCTCCACAGATTCAGGAACTGTGTCAGCAGCTGGAACTCCCCTTGTCCGGGCTGGAAAGACAATCATTTGGCTATAACAATTTGGCAAGCCTCTTTACATATATAGGATGTTTGTTCCATTATATTTTTCCTACCTATATACATGTAACATGCAGGAAACTAATAAACAAAAAACAAGTAAAATATGTTTTTCTTCTGACTCGCATGCTCTCAAAAAACAACACTGCTGCTAAAACTACTGTTACTATCATCATCATCATTACTACTGCTGCTACAATTACCTCATGAGCTTTTTGAGGACAGCATTTATTCTGGGGTCTCAACAGAATCCATTTTGAGTTTAAGTTTTCTTTTGTAACACGAAAAAGCTAAAACCTTCCTGAAGAAAAGTAATGGCTGTATAGTGACACATAATATATTAAAAAAAAAAGAGAGAAATAAATATATATTTAAAATACTATTTAAGGATGAGTGTTACAACAACAACAAAAATATTAAAATGACACCACATTCAATGATGTTAGACATAAATTAAGATTTCTGATACACAAAGTTGTGTACTTATGTTACTTTTTTTAAAAACTTGATCAACAACAATGAACACCACTATCCATTTCTAAGAATTCATGTGCCTTCTTAATTCAGTCATGCATTAGCAAGTCTTTATTTGAGGCAATTAATCTAAAAAGTTTGAATTTTATGACCATTTTGGTGTGACATGTACAATTTCAGAACGAACAAAAACCTGACAAAATTGTATCGCACCGTAAAAGAACTCTAAAATTAATCCTCTCGTTTGCATATGCTTTAACAACAGAAATACTTCATTTTGCTAACTTCAGTTTTTCAAAACCAGGTCAGTTGCGTATCCTTTACAGGTCGTTGCAGAAGCAACCTCAACAGCCCCTGGCTGTTGTCTGGTTTTTCTAGGCAAATTTATGTCCAGTAGTTTGCCATTGCTTTCTGGACAGTCAGCTTTCTTGATACCACTTTCGAAACCAACGCGCATGGCCCGCAGCTGGGATCAAACCCGGCATCCCGGCATTACGAAGTGTTCGCATCGACTTAGCCACAGAGCCGACATTTTTCAAAAAGGTTCACATAAATTCATTTTCCCAGCAAACAAAACAATATTAGAGTGCCCAAGCTGACAACCACTTAAATGCTGACATGTGTCTAAGGATGACTGATTCTGTTGCCACCTAAACGGCGACATTTTCTTTTCATGTTAAAAAAAATGCACGTAATGCGTTGACAAATGATATAGTATTACATTCCTGCAGGGATAATTCTGTCCATGTTAACCAAGTGTTTTTCTTATGTGAGTTTGTATTAATGAGGTTTTACTTTACAAGTAATCACCAACATTACGACAAAATTATAATGAAAGAATGTACACATTCTTTGACAGTACACTAATATTGACATTTTGTAGATTCTTTTTCTGTGGTCATCATCAAAAAGACTGGTTACCATATTTTGTTGTGGTTTACAGCTTGGCTGTGATATCTGCCTCTTTTGATCCAACTTGCTGATTCCAGCCAACCCCTAATCAGCCTCTGATTGCCATCACTGTGGTCACTGGTTTGAATCCAAACTGAGGCACAATTAAAGGATCTACCTCATTTTCCAAAACAATCAAGCTTTAATATAAAAAGGGGGGGGGGGGGTGTAAAGTCAGCAGATGACCACAATACTTATAAGTAAGGACTGTAAAGTTAAGGACTTTTTTCCACGCTTGCAGGTGTATGGAGCATATAGGACTGCTACAGACCAAATGGCACTCAGTGGCAATGTGGTTAACATCACGTTGGCCACCTTTACTTCCCAGTACTTTACTTGGTACACATTTAAGGCTGAGTCAACCTGGCGGCCAAGGTAATTTTTGAAGACAAAAAACTGGCCCCACTGGGAATCGAACCATGTGGCTTCCCACAATAATTATAGGGTCTATATAAATAGGAGGCAGAAACCATATGCTCAAGAGGCCTCAAAGTGTGTACTTTGGTCTTTCACCTTTTTCACTTACCTGAATTGCAGGTATATCAGTTGCAAACAGGTGACTTTTCATGAGAGCTGAGATTCTCAAGAAGGGCAAGCAATATTCCTCAACTGTTTGCTCCACGCTGACCGGTGACCACACACTTTGACATATCTGTAGAATCAGGCAAATATCAGATTATATGTCTTCTCAGGCAAATATCAGATTATATGTCTTCTCAGGCCAATATCAGATTATTTGTCTTCTCAGGCAAACATCAGATAAAGTACCTTCTCAGGCAAACATCAGATAAAGTACCTTTCCAGGCAAACATCAGATAAAGTACCTTTCCAGGCAAACATCAGATAAAGTACCTTCTCAGGCAAACATCAGATAAAGTACCTTTCCAGGCAAACATCAGATGAAGTACCTTTCCAGGCAAACATCAGATAAAGTACCTTCTCAGGCAAACATCAGATAAAGTACCTTCTCAGGCAAACATCAGATAAAATACCTTCTCAGGCAAACATCAGATAATACGTCTTCTAATGAGTTTCTATTATCAGAACCGTGTGTTCCAATTATGAAACCTATGAGATTCATCAGAAGAACAGAGCTAGCATACTATCAGTGTCTAAGTTACCATATCATATTATCTTCCGTCTTGTTTTATGAATACAAATCAATATGCTTCAACTGTCTGCTACTAATTTATTAATATAAGAGATTTTGACAAATTATTAAAGACCGCAAAATATGAAATAATGTTTCTATTGGGAAAGGGGCTATGAGTTGACTGCAGGAAAAATTATAATTCCATAAATAACATTTCTTAAAATTAATAGCAGATATTTGAAACCACTAAACAAACAAAAGCACAAGTAAATGCACCCCCCCCCCCCCCCCCCCCCCCCCCCCCCCCCCCCCCTCAACAACCAAGAAACAAAAGTATCAAAAACAGAAATCATTAGTTTCAAACTACTTTCTTATTTGTAACCAACTGTAACAATGTGAAGACATCAACATACAGCAGGCAGTACATGACTATGATCAATCTCCTCATAAAGAGAGCTCCGAGATAGCCAACCAATGATGCTGCTGAGCAAACCTTCCAATGTTGTGGTCTGACTCTGGGGAGAGAGATAAATACAGGATTTACTCAACCAATCAAAAGAGAAACAGAAGCAGTCTGCTTTAAAAAAAATACAAGGACGACAGAAACAACATTAATTTTGCGACGAGATTATGTTCAATCAGCACACAATGTTGCGACTTGACTGTGTTCATCAGCACACAATGTTGCGACTTGACTGTGTTCATCAGCACACAATGTTGCCGCTTGACTGTGTTCATCAGCACACAATGTTGCGACTTGACTGTGTTCATCAGCACACAATGTTGCGACTTGACTGTGTTCATCAGCACACAATGTTGCGACTTGACTGTGTTCATCAGCACACAATGTTGCCGCTTGACTGTGTTCATCAGCACACAATGTTGCCGCTTGACTGTGTTCATCAGCACACAATGTTGCGACTTGACTGTGTTCATCAGCACACAATGTTGCGACTTGACTGTGTTCATCAGCACACAATGTTGCCGCTTGACTGTGTTCATCAGCATACAATGTTGCCGCTTGACTGTGTTCATCAGCACACAATGTTGCCGCTTGACTGTGTTCATCAGCACACCATGTTGCGACTATACTATGTTCACCAGCACACCATGTTGTGGCTTGACTGTGTTCATCAGCACACCATGTTGCGACTATACTATGTTTACCAGCACACCATGTTGTGGCTTGACTGTGTTCATCAGCACACAATGTTGCGACTTGACTGTGTTCATCAGCACACCATGTTGCGGCTTGACTGTGTTCATCAGCACACCATGTTGCGACTATACTGTGTTCATCAGCACACAATGTTCATATTGTGCTTTTCGTTAAGTGTTTATGTAACTGTAGGTATATCATTAAGAGTTCATGTAACTGTAGGCATATTGTTAGGAATTCATGTAACTGTAGGCATATCGTTAAGTGTTCATGTAACTGTAGGCATATTGTTAAGTGTTCATGTAACTGTAGGCATATCGTTAAGTGTTCATGTAACTGTAGGCATATCGTTAAGTGTTCATGTAACTGTAGGCATGTTGTTAAGTGTTCATGTAACTGTAGGCATATCGTTAAGTGTTCATGTAACTGTAGGCATATCATTAGGTATTCATGTAACTGTAGGCATATCGTTAAGTGTTCATGTAACTGTAGGCATATCATTTAGTGTTCATGTAACTGTAGGCATATCATTAAATGTTCATGTAACTGTAGGTATATCATTAAGTGTTCATGTAACTGTAGGCATATCATTAAATGTTCATGTAACTGTAGGCATATCATTAAATGTTCATGTAACTGTAGGCATATCGTTAAGTGTTCATGTAACTGTAGGCATATCATTAAGTGTTCATGTAACTGTGGGTATATCATTAAGTGTTCATGTAACTGTAGGCATATCATTAAATGTTCATGTAACTGTAGGCATATCATTAAGTGTTCATGTAACTGTAGGCATATCATTAAATGTTCATGTAACTGTAGGCATATCGTTAAGTGTTCATGTAACTGTAGGCATATCGTTAAGTGTTCATGTAACTGTAGGCATATCATTAAGTGTTCATGTAACTGTAGGCATATCGTTAAGTGTTCATGTAACTGTAGGCATATCGTTAAGTGTTCATGTAACTGTAGGTATATCATTAAGTGTTCATGTAACTGTAGGTATATCATTAAATGTTCATGTAACTGTAGGCATATTATTAAATGTTCATGTAACTGTAGGCATATCATTAAGTGTTCATGTAACTGTAGGCATATCATTAAATGTTCATGTAACTGTAGGCATATCATTAAGTGTTCATGTAACTGTAGGCATATCATTAAATTTTCATGTAACTGTAGGCATATCGTTAAGTGTTCATGTAACTGTAGGCATATCGTTAAGTGTTCATGTAACTGTAGGCATATCATTAAGTGTTCATGTAACTGTAGGCATATCATTAAGTGTTCATGTAACTGTAGGCATATCATTAAATGTTCATGTAACTGTAGGCATATCGTTAAGTGTTCATGTAACTGTAGGCATATCGTTAAGTGTTCATGTAACTGTAGGCATATCGTTAAGTGTTCATGTAACTGTAGGCATATAATTAAATGTTCATGTAACTGTAGGCATATCGTTAAGTGTTCATGTAACTGTAGGCATATCGTTAAGTGTTCATGTAACTGTAAGCATATCAGCCTGGGTAGTGTAAAACAAACCTACAGAATAAAGTATATCAAACCTGTATCCCTGTCCTCCTCCAAGCTTCCCGTTCATCACCAGAAAACTGGCAGCTGACATATGCCAGAGCTTGAACATAGACCAGGTTGTACAACATCTGTACCACAAAATCATAGTGCTCTGTTGAGTAAAATCAATTTATAAGAACAATTCCGGCTAATCAGTCCAATGAAATAAAATAAATGCTAGCATGTTTTTTTAAGAACATTCCTTCAGTCTGTTTTTATGTGTTTCCTAAATCCAAATGGGACCTTGTATATCAATGATTAAATTTCCTTGTGTGGGTTCAGGGCTCGATTGTGGAGAAAATAAGAACAGACGATGCCTACCCAAAAGCATGTCATAAGAGTCAACTGTCTGGGAGCTTCCTTCGAAGTGGGAGTACATCTGCCTGAGAGGCAGAGGAACCAACAGTCTGCATGCAAATGAGTCAGATCTGTGAAATGGAAAAGGACTAGAGTCCAGAAGTGGACAAATAACCAGAACTTTCCACTGGCATTTACAGCTGGTGAACAGGAGGAAGTAGAAGAAGAATGATTCAACTACTTGCGTGTGTTCTGGGGCCAAATTTGTTGGGGGGATAAAGGAACAGACCCATTGCTCCTTAGCAAACATACTGTAAAAGGCAACTAAATCACATGCTAAACTGGATGTGTTGAACTGAAAGGTGCAGATATTACAGCACCAGGTCAGGCATACAGAGTAGTAACCCCAGAGTCAACTGCAGCCAAAACCTAAAGTTTGTGTTGTATTTAGCATATCAGATCATCTGCAACCACTCTTTTTTACATCTGTCTAAGCTACTGTGTTATTTAATATGGCTTAAGAGTTTGCAAGAGATAATGCTGATTATAAGCCAGTTAGTTATCTGTGGTGTTTGGATGTTAAAAGGCAGTATTTTGCATGCCAAAAACTGTCAATATCCGAAGTAGGTATACTCTAAGAAGACAGTAACAACATTCTTCCTGATCAGAAAAAGCAGAATAGGTAATATCAACAACTGAACCTAACCTCACCTGGCTCGATGGCGAACGACAAAGTCAACACAAACTGCATCAGAAGGCTGAGGGCATCCTTCAGGAGAAGTGGAACCTTCCTTTCATATACAGACAATGTGCTGCAATAAAAACACAAAGAACAAATTTGTCATTAACATTCAGCATTTCATATACAGACAATGTGCTGCAATAAAAACACAAACAACAAATTTGTCATTAACATTCTGCCTTTCATATACAGACAATGTGCTGCAATAAAAACCACAAAGAACAAATTTGTCATTAACATTCTGCCTTTCATAGGCAGACAATGTGCTGCAATAAAAACACACAAACAATAAATTTGTCTTTAACATTCAGCCTTTCATCTAAGTACAGGTATCTGACTCTGAGTACAGGTATCTGACTCTTGAGTACAGGTATCTGACTCTGAGAACAGGTATCTGACTCTGAGTACAGGTATCTGACTCTGAGAACAGGTATCTGACTCTGAGTACAGGTATCTGACTCTGAGTACAGGTATCTGACTCTGAGAACAGGTATCATCAGTATGGAAAATCTGAGGAAAGGTTCAGAGCACGTGTGGGAATATGTCAATTCTTGACTGATGGATTCATTCCAGCAGGAATGCAGACACAATTTCTTGATCTTTCAAAACAAGCCTGGTCAAAAGCTGATTAGGGGAATGGGGGTAGGGAAGATATATCAGGGTAACTGATGAATGAACTACCTTATAGGGAAATGTATCATCATAGTCACAGGTTAGTAAATTACCAAAAAGGGGAATAAAAAAAAAAAAAGCACATACAAAAGTACAGCAACAGAGGTACAAACAACTAAAAACATGTTGTTTTGGTACTGTGCTGTAGTTACAAGGATGCACCTACTATTTTAGGTAAATGACACTTGCGAAGGCAGTGAAAACAGTGAAAAATGCAAATACACACACATGCACAATGAAGCTTGCAAAAGCAGATATTCAGAGAAATATGCAATTGCAGATATATGACATTTACAAAGATGAATAGACAGTAAACTTGCAGATAAAACAGTGCCCACCTGGTAACATCATCCTGAAGGTTGGTACCTGTGAGGTGAGACCATATGTCTGGGTAGGGTGAGGTTGAAACAAGCACCTTGCTGTGTAGACTCAACACATGCAACAGGGGCACTGTGGGACAATCAAATATGAAACAATACAACATGATAGAATCAACTATGATTGAATGAAACATAACACGTTCAAGAATGACTCAACCAAATATGATAATCTGTGTAACCATATTCTGACAATACAATGAATTTATGAGACAAAACTAGAAATTTGGACAACCATACCTTCACAATCTGTAGTGTCTTGAGGAGCTACAGAAGGGGTTATCATGAGCCAAAATGAATGCATGGCAGATTCAACCAAAATTTTACTTTGCTCAATTATTGCAAATGTCTAAAAATCAACTTCCCATGTGTGTTAAGAGGGCCCCAGTCCAGGACAGGGGGGGTGGGGGGGAAGGCGACACAAACCTTCTGCTCCTTATCAAGCATGTGTAAAAGGTGAATAATTTACCTTATTATCGTCAACACAAAATAAGAAACAACAAAATCTTTTTAATCACCTAGCTACAGTGAGATAATACAAATAAAAACAAACATGACAAAAAAATTAATAATGAAAAGGATCACCATATGCACAGATTCTTTAATAAGAATAAGCAACATCATGGCCAGGCCATTGAGTTAACCGTATGTGTCGATTCCTCCCAACCACGTATATGGTTGAAGCATTCTGTTTCTGGGGACAGCTTTTATCGAGTTTGCTCTCTAGACAGTTGCAGTCCCCTGCTGACGAGATTCTGTCTTCCCGAGTGGACCTCCGCGATCAAAACATTGCGAAGGCAGCATGGTCGAGGCTGCTGAAACTATCAGTCATTATTCCGCCCCGACACAGCACAACCACAATACGCAGCTCTCACGAAAAACACATAGTATCCTGCGTTGGAAATACGCACAAAATAGCAGTCCATGATTATGAAACAGAATAATCCGAGAGAATTGACAGCCAGCGAAAATAAACACAGCTGCTATCCGCCATTTTGAAAACAGAAGTCCAAGCAACATCATGAAACATTGAAATATTATTTTAAAAAGTTCAAGAAACTCTGCAGCTTGTTTATTAATTGTTCAGGATTCACTGAGATATTAATCCAGCTTACACACATGAAACCTGACAGGGACGGACAAGTACTAGGAGAATGACCACAACAACAACTGCTTGATGACCCACAAATATCCCACACACCTAGAACCTGACAGGGACAGACAAGCATCAGGAGAAGGATAACAACTGTTTGAAGACTCACAGAACTAAAACACCCCTGACAGACTAGAGACAAACAAGCATCAGGAGAAGGATATCAACTGTTTGAAGACTCACAAAACTCCGACACACCTGACAGACAAGCATCAGGAGAAGGATAACAATTGTTTAAAGATATAAAACTCACACACACCTGACAGACAAGAGACAGACAAGCATCAGGACAATGACCACAACAACTGCTTGAAGACTCAAAAACTCCCACACACCTGACAGACAAGAGACAGACAAGCATCAGGACAATGACCACAACAACTGCTTGAAGACTCACAAAACTCCCACACACCTGACAGACAAGAGACAGGTAGCAATCAGGACAATGACCACAACAACTGCTTGAAGACGCACAAAACTCACACACACTTGACAGACAAGAGACAGACAAGCATCAGGACAATGACCACAACAACTGTTTGAAGACAAAAAACTCACACACACCTGACAGACAAGAGACAGACAAGCATCAGGACAATGACCACAACAACTGCTTGAAGACTCACAAAACTCCCACACACCTGACAGACAAGAGACAGAATCATCAGGACAATGACCACAACAACTGCTTGAAGACTCACAAAACTCCCACACACCTGACATACAAGAGACAGAAGCATCAGGACAATGACCACAACAACTGCTTGAAGACTCACAAAACTCCCACACACCTGACATACAAGAGACAGAAGCATCAGGACAATGACCACAACAACTGTTTGAAGACACAAAACTCACACACACCTGACATACAAGAGACAGAAGCATCAGGACAATGACCACAACAACTGCTTGAAGACTCACAAAACTCCCACACACCTGACAGACAAGAGACAGACAAGCATCAGGACAATGACCACAACAACTGCTTGAAGACTCACGAAACTCACACACACCTGACATACAAGAGACAGAAGCATCAGGACAATGACCACAACAACTGCTTGAAGACTCACAAAAGCAATGCTTTTTGGTGACAGCTATAGCTTGCGCTGCGCTGAGATTGCCTCCTCTTTGAAGCAGATCAACTTCTAAATTCACCCTGAAACAAAATATCAGCGACTGATAAGAGAGTAAGTTTGTAAATAACTAAATCTATGTTACCTACAGTATGCTTGCTCAGTGTTACTCAATATCCTGCTGTTAGCATCTTTTCATCTTTCTTGTGTGAGGACAGTGTTATATTATGTTTTAGGAAAGCCAGGGAATCCCAGCCCATTGTGACAGAGACAGTGGCAGGCAAGACCCGCCCACACACACACACACACAAAAAAGAGTCTTCCACAATTAGAACATGGGATTCCAGAACAACTGTTGCCATATCATGTGTTTAATGTGCTACTTCTCAGATGCAACAAGGTCCATGACATCCGGATCTGAAAACTGTTGTAGTGAACGAGCAAAAGATCTGTTTATATTCCTTTAGGCATACTGAGTATTGGATGCTAGCTCACATATTCTAGATCAGTGGTTTCCAACGTTTGTATACTTCAGCAGCCATTTTTGAATCAACAGGGGAAATTTCATGTGCTTCTGGGAAACTCTCAATTTCAGAGCAGAGCAGCAAGCAATTATTGATTCAACCAAAGTGCTTGAGGAAACAAAAATTTAAAACAGTAAAACTGATTTTCTGCGTGACTGCATGACAGTCATCTAGAGGGGTCCATGAGACAACATGGAGAGAGAACAGACCTGCCAGATAAACAAACTATCAGAAAACAATCAAATCATTCTCCAATGGAGCCACCTGGCTCACTGTGGCATACCAGGAAATAGGTTGGCGGAGAAACTTGCAAAAAAAATGGAACAAAGGAGAAACAACACACCCATTAATTGTCATTACCAGAAGTCAAAACATTTATCAAGGGAAAATACAAGGAATTGTAGAGAGAACAAACTAACAGTAAACATCCACAAGAACCCATCAGCAAACTCAACAGAAAGCAACATACGACAACTTTCCATCTAAGAGCAGGACACTGCAGGCCCAACTACCACATGCATAAAATAAAGACTATACAGTCCCCACAAGAAGAATCAATTTCTATGGCAGAGACCCACAGGCCGATCGTACAAGGATGTTTAAAAGTAATTTTGAGCAGCGGAGGAAGAGGGGGTAGATAGCAAGGGATTTTAACGTAAAGAGATATCTAAACAATGTAGTTGCTAGGAAAATTAGCTGAGAAATGACTTCATATCGACTAGTCTGCCTGTATTTATATGTTTTGAGTTGATTCCAGCTCACAGTGTCGCACCATGTGCTCAATTCTGTAGTTGGCAGACGAAACCAGATTCCAAATTACCTCATTTGTTGTTCCATCCAGTATCCTACTACGGGTTGAAATCCCAACCTTCCACTCGATTACAGAGTCCCCCACATGATGGTGAGGTAGGCTTGAGCAAGAGAGACTAACAGCTAAGCTATGTTTCCTCGCACAGCATATAACTGTTCCATTAGAACCCAAACAACCACCACAAATAATTAACTAGCAGACTATCTAGTGCAGACAATACAGTACCTGGCCACTGATGAGATGAAGAGAAGGACACTTTCTGTGCTGTGTGTGGATGTAAAGACACGGTAGCTCGGGTACGTGATGGTTGAGATGTCCTCCATGACTATTCGCATGGCACATGTCAGCGGTGCATGGTCCTGCATGTTACAGATAACACAATACATTTAAACCTAACAGTAGTAAGTAGTGTGTATGTTTAGTTGAGATACAGAGGCAGACCATCACCTACAGTAGTGCACCAGGACCCAAACTGAGGATCTGAGGCAGACCATCACCCACAGTAGTGCACCAGGACCCAAACTGGGGATCTGAGGCAGACCATCACCTACAGTAGTGCACCAGGACCCAAACTGGGGATCTGAGGCAGACCATCACCTACAGTAGTGCACCAGGACCCAAACTGGGGATCTGAGGCAGACCATCACCTACAGTAGTGCACCAGGACCCAAACTGGGGATCTGAGGCAGACCATCACCTACAGTAGTGCACCAGGACCCAAACTGGGGATCTGAAGCAGACCATCACCTACAGTAGTGCACCAGGACCCAAACTGGGGATCTGAGGCAGACCATCACCTACAGTAGTGCACTAGGACCCAAACTGGGGATCTAGCTAACATGAAGAGGACTGATATTTTTTTCGTAGCTGGAGTACTTCTGCCTCAGAGGTGAGGAGCCAACAGTCTGCACAAAAATAAGCCAGATTTGTAAAACAAATGTGCACACAATCCCCAGGTCTTGAAATATGACCAAATTCTAGTCATGGATAAACCACCAGCAATTTCTGCTGGGGTTCACAGCCGGTGAACACACAAAAAGACATTTATGTTCGAGTGGTCAAGCTGTTTGCCTTGTGTTTCATGAAAGAATTATGCAGTCAGAAATTTGTCAGTATTTTATACGTCAAGAATAATAAGCTCATCTATAAAAATTCACACTATGAATGTAAATTAAACATACAAAAAGCATGGATGGCAAATGCACACTTTCAAATATTCATACAAAAATACACATAAAACACAGACACACACAAGGCAGAAAAACAAGTGAGAAAGCTGAACAGACACAAACACAGTTACTCACACTGACAACATACACACTGACACAACACATACTCAAAGATACAGAATACATACACACAGATAGAATACATACTTTCAGACACAACACACACTCACAGACACAAAACACACATGACACATACACAGAGACACGACACACAAACACAACATAGACAGGCATTCAGACACAATAAACACTCACAGACACAAAACACACATGACACATACACAGAGACACAACACACAAACACAACATACACAGGCATTCAGACACAATATTCACTCAAGAAAAAGATCTCTGTCATGCATTTCTCTTCAGAGACAGTTAAAAAAAACAACTTTTAACTCCAGACTACCAAGATTGCACATATGTGATCCGCCGACGTTTACGCCTGGCTACCACAGATGCTTGCTGTCAAGTTTAAATCACTTATAGTAAATTTTTGATGAATTTTTAATTGTGAGCTCCCATGCCTCTGACGAAATTTTCGCCATGACGTCAAATTCTCGAAGGGATAGTGGATGTCATATTTATCATTTTTCTGTTGCTGCATTTGATTTTTATTCCAAAAGGTAAAGATATAATTGGAGAGTTTGATGACTCAAACTTTGATAAATCTAATGAAGTGCCATCAAAAACATCGTCGACAGTGAAACAACAACATGTCGCTTCAAAGTCAAGTCTAACTAAGAATCGACCAGCAGCTACACCGTCGGCAGCAAAAAATAGTACAGCTGTTTCTGATACTGATAGTTCTAGTGAAAGTATTAATTCAGAGCCTGTAGATTTTGTGTCTGAACTGCACATGATGAAGATATCAGTGCCGCTTTTGATGTAGAATTATTATCATCTGACGAGTCCAGAGAGGATTTGCTACACCTCAACAGCTTCAACTGCTTGATGACTGGCATTGTGATTTGCAAGGCTTTCCTGAAGTACCCCCATTTACTGGGACACTTATGGTTTATTTTTGCCAGAAGGAACAAATGAACAGATGCCACTGGAAATTTTTAATATTTTCTTTAGTTAAGAAGTTCTGGTCATGTTTGCTAAAGAAAAACCGCTAAGCTGAGGTAAAGATTGCTGCAAAACCAGACAGTGTTTTTGCAGAAACACACAAACCCAAATGAAGTGAGAGGGTTTCTTGTTCTGCTGCTCAACATCCGTGTTGTAAAAAGCCATCTATTTCAGACTACTGGAGCAGACATCCATTTATTCATTCACCATTTGCTGCCAACAATGATTACTCCCATAATATGTCAGGAGTTGACATCAGTGGCCAGTTGTTAGCTTAGGTTCTTCACGTCGTTCTCGGAAATGGCGGCGAAAATTATTATGTCATTTGTTTACTTCTACACTTATTCAGTCACATTCTGCATCATAAATTATTAGTACAAAATGGGAAGCAAATTCTGAAGTCGCAGAATTTTATTTCACAGCTGGGCAGGGCTCTCGCCGAGGATTATTTCTACAAAAAGACAGCAGCAATGCCTTGTGCTCCTCGAACAAGTGTAGGGTTTTTGAAGCATCTAACAGACACTTTGCTTCCCCAATTCCACCAACAGCTGCAAACTCAAACACAGAAGAAGGTGGACAGAACACAGAAAAGATAAATGAAGAAATACATGAAAAAGGCCACAAAGGGACCATGACAAGTTACTGGTGTAGGGATTGTCAGGTGCCACTTTGTACCGAACAATGTTATTGGAATGCTGTCATTACTGCCTCCATACAGTAACGCTGTCATTACTGCCTCCATATAGGAACGCTGTCATTACTGCCTCCATTCAGGAAAACTGTCATTACTGCCTCTATACAGGAACCCTGTCATTACTGCCTCCATACAGAAAAGCTGTCAATACTGCCTCCATACAGGAACGCTGTCATTACTGCCTCCATACAGGAACGCTGTCAATACTGCCTCCATACAGGAACGCTGTCAATACTGCCTCCATACAGGAACGCTGTCAATACTGCCTCCATACAGGAAAGCTGTCAATACTGCTTCCATACAGGAAAGCTGTCAATACTGCCTCCATACAGGAACGCTGTCAATACTGCCTCCATACAGGAATGCTGTCAATACTGCCTCCAAACAGGAATGCTGTCAATACTGCCTCCATACAGGAACGCTGTCAATACTGCCTCTATACAGGAACGCTGTCATTACTGCCTCCATACAGGAATGCTGTCATTATTGCCTCCATACAGGAATGCTGTCATTACTACCTCCATACAGGAACACTGTCATTACTGCCTCCATACAGGAACGCTGTCATTACTGCCTCCATACAGGAACGCTGTCATTACTGCCTCCATACAGGAACGCTGTCATTACTGCCTCCATACAGGAACGCTGTCATTACTGCCTCCATACAGGAATGCTGTCATTACTGCCTCCATACAGGAACGCTGTCATTACTGCCTCCATACAGGAACGCTGTAATTACTGCCTCCATACAGGAACTCTGTCATTACTGCCTCCATACAGGAATGCTGTCATTACTGCCTCCATACAGGAACGCTGTCATTACTGCCTCCATACAGGAACGCTGTCATTACTGCCTCCATACAGGAATGCTGTCATTACTGCCTCCATACAGGAACGCTGTCATTACTGCCTCCATACAGGAACGCTGTCATTACTGCCTCCATACAGGAACGCTGTAATTACTGCCTCCATACAGGAACTCTGTCATTACTGCATCCATACAGGAATGCTGTCATTACTGCCTCCATACAGGAACGCTGTCATTACTGCCTCCATACAGGAACGCTGTCATTACTGCCTCCATACAGGATCGCTGTCATTACTACCTCCATACAGGAACGCTGTCATTACTGCCTCCATACAGGAACGCTGTCATTACTGCCTCCATACAGGAATGCTGTCATTACTGCCTCCATACAGGAACGCTGTCATTACTGCCTCCATACAGGAACGCTGTCATTACTGCCTCCATACAGAAACGCTGTCATTTCTGCCTCCATACAGAAACGCTGTCATTACTGCCTCCATACAGAAACGCTGTCATTACTGCCTCCATATAGGAACGCTGTCATTACTGCCTCCATGTTTATTCTCATACTGGATGTTGTGACACTGTTTGTGAGGCTCTCAATTTTTAAACTGTCTCTTCACCTAAGTATAACTTCATAGACAATCAAAATAACCAGGTATAACTTCAAAGGTAATGAACAGTTATAAATGTTAATAATACTAACCAGTCATAAGCTTCAATAATTAACATATATCAACTATAGTGACAATACAAAGTAGATACAAAAGCATAAAAGGACTGACCACGCCGATTCGTCGCCTGACCATCATTTCAGCAATGTCTTCGACCATCTGTTTGGGGTCCCTGGATACTGGCTTCACCATCATCATGGGGTTCTCCTCAGGAACCATGGGAATGACAGCATTTGACAGCTGACGACACAGAGGACACCAGTACTCCCGCTTGTTCACATTCAGCACCTCCACATGATTTTGGGTCTGTTCATAACATCAAAAATGCCATCATCATTGAATGAAAATATATTCGTTTATATGGCTAACATATAACATTAGTATTTAACGACTGACCATTTGCGCCAACAGTGAGCTGCAATTCTGGGCTGGGACCGTTAGTGTGGGCACATCTGACCGCTGCCTTATGCAACTGTTTTTTACTGTATGTGTGCAAGATTTAAGATTTTGCTGACTGACAAGTTTTTCACTAGTTTTTAAATAGGACAGTGAAGGACATTTCTGTGTGAATTTCACTGGCACAGGAACAGAGCAGTAATGGGTCTTGTCTTGGGCAGTGATTCTGGAACCTCAAATAAATAACTAACAAGCGTTTAGGCGGTGATTAAAGCTATAATCTAGCTGGGGACAAAGTCCTTCACTCAGACATGCTTTCACATTGGCTCAATGAGTATGCATAAGAAAACAGACAAGGAATGGGTTCGAAGACAGTGATCAGAGTCTCTGAGTGGCTCATGGCTGACAAAGATTAACTTCACTTTCATCACAGGGCATGACAATTTAAAAGTAAAATAAACAAGATGACAGGCTTGTATGTATGGCAACTGTGGAAGCCTGACAAGCCATGGACCAGTCTGATATAATGAATGCTCTACGAGACTGCGAGATTCAAGTGATGGGGTTGGGGGCACTATAATTATTGTAAATTGTATATAAACGAGGTATCTGGAATTTGTTTCCACTGGAATAGCATAAAAATGTGACTCTCTGAGTTACTGTCGGATAAAACCTTCAGGTAGCAGTACCAGAGAGATTTAAAAAAAAAAAACAAATATTTTTTCTAAGGTAACATTAAATACTGTTGCATATAAGTCACAAACTAAGAACACCGCAGATTCAAATGTCTGTAAACACTTACCCTAAGAGAATCAAGGTAAGATTTATGGCAGTCTAGATGAAGGTAATGTCCACAGGTCTGGGCTACTACCCCACCTTCCCAACCAATATTTACTGACAATTCACAAGATTTCTGAAAATAAAATAAAAATAAATGTCTTTTTTGCAACCCCCCCCCACCCCCCCCCCCCAAGCTCATATTGTTTCCCCTAAATGCACACTCTATATGTGTGGTGTCTGTTGTGCATCTGTAAATGCAGACAATGTTAGAATAACCGCTTCTATGGGCAATGACCTGGTCTCAAATCTGGAACAAACTTGCTCCAGCTGGTCAGTCAAAGTATGAACTCAGTTCAGTACAGATGACCATCATTGCACTCAGGTAAGATGTCCATATGTGCTCCAATCTTCTTTGTAGATATCCATCATTCTACAACTGATTCATTCCATTCTTCTGTTATGTTAATCCATCTTATTCCAGTTGCTATTTTAATCCCCCTTTTTTAAATCAAATTATATTTTGTGATTGTTACACTAAAATACTGAGATTAAGACCAGAAGTGACCTGCCAACTGGCATGGGCGATCCTATCTCTTCACAACCTGTGATTTCCAAGAGCATGCATCAATGCATGTGCTGAAACTCCCTCGCCATGATATAACAAAAAGCTATCAAGAACCTTCTCTCATTTCTATTTATATTTTCACAAATCTTTCCAGTGGTCACAATATATTCCAGTTTCCCCCATCTCACAACATGGCCAGAAAATTATGACTGTAACTTCCAATCTTTGTGAGAAGTTTGAATAAATCCGAGCACAGAACTACTTCAGCCACTCTTACACAGAACATAACTCTCATCACAGCCAACTGGAAAGACTCGTTTTCTGCCAGATCACCTGGCTCACATATTTTCAAGTGTAAGGTATTTTAAATGTCTCAAACAGCTGTCATCAGGAATGGCTTGAGAAATTTATGTTGCAATAAGCTCTTGCTTTACGCATAACCTTGACTATGAACTCTGGTGTCAACTTTGAGACCTCAGATGCTAGGATAAATGAGTTCCGTACTCTGTGGTACCTTAGCTAAAAGCAAAGGGCACTCAAGAGGTGTTTGCTACAAATAAAGTGAAGGTCCCTCTACAAGCCAGGGACGCATTTGACACACAATGCCAGACCCATATTTGTAGATACCAGTCGGGTCTCAACGGGTGATGTGGTCAATAACATGCCGGCCACCTTGACCTCCCAGGACTCTACCTGCAACACATTTAAGGTTTGGTCAACCTAGGAGGCCACCCCCCCCCCACCCCCCACCCAAAATAAAACATGGCACTATGCTGATATGAACCCACAACTTTCAGATCCACAGGGTGTCCACTCATCCTGGTAAATACCTCCCCTTCCCTTCTTCCCGAACAGTATCTGCACAGTGATGAGTACTCCATCCTACAACATGAAGAGGGAAATGTGACATGTTTCCTTTGCTGAGTTGTGACATCATGATGGTCAGTCAGTAGCATGTCCTTTGCAGAACCTTGCACCCATAACATTCCTCTGGAAAACTTCTCAATCATAAGCAAGATGTCTCACGTCTGATACACCCACCTGGAGATCATCCGCCGCATCCTGCACCCATATTCTCTTTGGCCTTTCTCTTTCTTTCTTCCCAGGCATATACCCCTCCATTATTGTTCTCTCTAAACTTTCGTGACGTTTCAGGTGACCAAAATATTTCAATTTTCTGTGTTTTATCATCTTTAATAGCCAACCTTCTTCAATATTCAGTTCTTGAAGTATGGATGCATTTGTTCTCTTCTTTGCCCATGATATTCTTAAACCCGTCTATAACATGTGTATTCAAAGGCATTTATGCGCTGTTCGGCTTGTTTAGTAATTGTCCATGTCTCACAGGTGTATGTTGCAATGGGAAAGATGCATGCTCTTGGAAATCTAATTTGTATAGTTCTCTCTGTCCCAATCCATAATTTATTCAGCTGTTTTAGTCTTTGAAGAGCAACTGACAGTCGTTCAATTTCTTTCATTGTGTCACCATTGTTGGTAATCAATGACGCAAGATATTCAAAAGTTTCAACAACCTCCGATCCTTCCTCATTAACACATATTTCTTTCTCCATGGTAGTTTTATTTGTATGCATTATCATTGTTTTTCTATGTTAAGATATAAGTTGTGATTTTCACTATTTCTTTGGGCTGAGGTTATTAAGTTTTCTATACCAATTTGTGATGTAGATAACAATACTGTATCATCGGCAGATCGGATTGCTGGTATTTTATGACCACTGATTTTTAGGGCATCATACTGCTCTCTGGTTGTATCATCTCTGACATTTCTCATTATATTTTCGGCGTTAAACAAATAGGGTGACAGCACACAACCCTGACGGACTCCTTGCTGGATGTGAAACCAGTCTGATGCCTCGCCATCTATTCTAACCAGTGCTTGTTGGTCTAGATAAAGCATTGTTATGAGGTATACTACATGTGATGGTAATTTTTTTTATAAACTCCTCATGTTCTATTTGAAAAAAAATGGCCCATGTTCTGTTTAAAAAAAAAAATGAAAGAAAAATACTAAACATACAAATAATAAAAAACAATGATTCAAAGTACCAACAAAATAATGAAATTAGCAAACAGATAAAAACATGGCGCACACAAAACAAGTGAACAGGAGAATATAACGAGGCAGATCAAGATGGTAGAGAGATAAAGACAAACCTACAAACACCCGGAGTCATCAACTGAAAAGAGACAGCCAAACACAGAGATGAAAAGAGGTGGGTGATATCTGCAGCGATAAACCTCAAGCGCTCAGAATGCAGAAGAAGAAGAAGTAGAAGAAGAAGATTTAAAGAATTTCAAGCAAACAGATGATCACCTACCTCTTCAAAATATTTGCGCAAGGTGTCCAACTTCTTGTGGTGAACTTTCCCACAGGAGGCATTACGGTAATGCTCCGTCTGTGTCTCCGAAAGAGTTAAGGGGTACTCTTGGTCATTCTGATGACGATGACCCAGTACTGAAATAATTGGAAGTTATCATATTTTAAAACTTATTATAATTACCTAACATAATAACAACTGACTGTGTAGCACAGTACTAAGTCCGTCTATTAGAGCTGAGTACTAGAGTTTAGATTATCTACTGAATTATCTTAGAAAAGTCAGTTTACCGTTTCTCTAATGAATTATCTAACAAAAGTGAAATAGAGAGAGAGAGAGAGAGAAACTAAGAGTGGTCTTGCAAACCTATGAAGCTGAAAAGAGATTTTGAATTTTTAGCAAGGGCTGCGATACTGACCACTTGATGCCTGTAGAAAAATGACCATCCCGACTGGTCTCTCGCCTGTAGAAGGCGTGGTTTGGTTGCAGATGACACAATCATATTCCTGGACCTTTAGCAGCTCTTGTTCTTGGCCTGCTTTTGCAGAGTCAGCTGTTGACTCATTGGTTTCTGTATGAACAAACAATATGTCAAGATTCTAATAAATGGCAGCAGAGAAACAAAAATAAAGAGACAAAGTGTTACTTTTTCTTCATTCACCCTGAAAACCCCATAAGTGGGGCCCCAATATTCCCACAGGAAAAATTTGTTACTTCTTCTCCACATTCATCCAGCTGTTAACTCCCATAGAATGTCTTAGCACATACTTTTTATAGATCAGGCTTATTTGTGCGCAGACTGTTGGTCCCTCGCTTCTTGGATCGATGCACTAGGACTTCAAGGACACTTTGATCCTGTCTTATGTTCACCAGGCCCCCAGGTGGAAACCTGTTTCTAGGCTGGCCACTGAGTTAACTGTACGTGTCGATTCCTCCCCATCAAAAACAGGGTTGACACATCTTCTGGGAACAGCTGATATTGAGTTTTCTTTCTAGAGAGTTGCAGTCCCCTGGTGATGAAATTTTATCTCCCGGGACAGTGGGATGCTACGTTTAAAACACTACAAAGGCAGCAAGGTTGAAGCTGCCAAATCTATCTGTCATTATTTCGCCCCGACACAGCACAAGGACAATACACACTGCTTTTAAAAACAAAACTGTATCCAGCGTTGAAATATGCAAATAATAGCAGTCAATGATGAGGGCATTTGATTGAGTGCAGCCCCATAAACTATGGCATATAATGAGAGGCATGGGATTTCCAAATCATCTGGTGAACTTAATGGAATCTCTTTACCATGAACAACAAGCAGCGGTCAGAGTAGCTGGTGAAACATCATAATGCAGAAAGGAGTGAGACAGGGCTTTAACATATATGCTGAAAATGTTATGAGAAATGCAATTAACGATGAGGCATGTGAAAGCTTTGATCTACTAAAAATTGGAGGTAATCCTATCCCAGAACTCAGATATGCAGACGACAACAGTTCTTCTTTCCAACAGTGTACAAGGTTTAGAAACATTAATTCTGGCCGTCAAAAAACACAGCGAAAAAGTAAATCTTTTTTTTTAAAATTAAAACAAAAACAAAAACATTATGTCCTCAGTAAATACAGCACACACCCACGTACCACAATCCAAAATGAAGAAATAGAAAATGTAACAGATTTAGAATACATGGGCTCTTTAGTGAACAACAGTGGTGACTGCTCAAAAGAAGTCAGAAGAAGAATTGCATTGGCAATGCAGAGATTAAAAATAGCAAGAAGCACCTATGGCAAAGCACTAGTAAATTGGTTAGAGTAAAAATTTTGAGATCATGCATTTTTCCTGTGGCACTTACGGTTGTGAGTCTTGGACTCTCACTCAGTCATTGAGGAAAAAGATTGGAGCTTTTGAATTGAATTGTTGTAGAAAAATTCTTAGAATACCATGGATCAAGAAGAGGAAAACATCGACATTCTGAACAAGTTGAACATCAAGGAGAACTGGCTCATAAACAGCATTCTGTCCCGAAATTTGAAGTATTTTGGCCACATCAAACGTCATGATGGCTTGGAAAAGACGGTGATGGAAGGTGTAGTTTGTGGAAGGCGAGGCAGGGGTCGACCACCGTGAAGATGGATACAAGACATTGAAGATGCATTGGCATTGAAAGCACATGGGGCCAGAGAGCTGGCTAGGGAAAGGGATACTTTCAGGGGCGCTGTGAAGAGAAGACTCGCCATTTTGAAAACAGAACATTCAGAAACCAAGATTAAACTGTTCGTTTCTAGGAGAATCATGGGAGATGTAGACAGGTCCTGACTAGCAGCCCATTAATCTTTTATGACATGCTTGTTAAGGGACTGTGGGTCTCTTCTTGTTTTATTGCAAATGGGGTCCCAGAGTCCACACAGGAAGAATATGTTACTGATAGGCGACAACTTCTCCAGATGTTTTATTTGCAGAGGACATGACCATTATCCTCATCCCAAATACCTCTCGGGGACTTAACTGTCAACAGTTGTGACTAATATCTTCGAGTCATAGCCCTTAGCATTCTAGGGTTATTTATTGCTGGTGGCTAAACAAATCTTTCACTCCAAGCCTGTACAACAAAGTGGCTGCTATCGGGAATACATCAGTCATTTTGTATATTCATGTCCTTACATATGGTTTTGTTGATTTTTGTAATGTGCTGATGAAGGCTCTGTAGCCGCAACATTCATTTTTTATTTGTGTTTATTATATTGTGAAGCTCATTGATCTATTTTCTGCTGGGTTTCATGACCGCCATACTCCTGTGATCCTATTAATTATCTTCACATTTAAAACAAAACAGACACTGCCTATACAATTACCGATTCCCTAGGGATTTGAGTTTATGCTTCTCTTGCATACATTCCCACACAAGGCTAGAGCCTCTATTCCACCTCTTCTGTTGGCTGTCCCATTACTACACTTCACAAATGATAACCAAGACGTGTTAAAGGTGATATCCCTTGTTTGAAGATTTAACTCCATGTGTGGGAATGGGTTTCCCACTGTAGGAAAAATAAATAACAGACCTACTGTCTCATGCGACTAATTAGAGTGTTTTCTCTGAAGTCAGAGTGCATCCCCCTGAGTAGCGAGGAATCCACAGTCTGCATACAAATAAGCCACATCTGTATTATTAATGTTCATGCAAAACTTGAGTCTGAAAAAAGACCAAATTCCAGAAGTGGACAAACAACCAGAACTTTCCACCAGAGCTTACAAGTGGAAGAAGAAGACAAATCCGAAATTAAAAAATGTTTGTAGAAAGGATACATTAGGGAAGATCAATGCAGATGATCTACATTAAAATTAAAACATGAAACATGCGTCCCACTCCATCCAGGTTAAACAAAAATAGAGAATATCAGACATGGTGATGAGATGAATAACTAACCTGACCTGAAGGTGGCCTGTCATTTTCTAAGTAAAACTCCCAGAAAGCACCAGTTACATACATGCATAGGAAGAAGTCAGTTCCCATTCTTGTGGGTACATAATGAGAAGGGGTAAAGCTAGAATATGTCATGATAACAGTAACACTCAAGGGGAAGAGAGGTAGAAAGAGACCAAGAGAGAAGATGACATTATGGTGGATCAATTTAATAAAACTCGTAAGCCAGCGTACCGCGATCGAAACCCACTGCAGGCTGCGTGGATTTTTGTCGTGGTATGGGACGTCGCAGGTCGACCCAGCCTAAAATGGGTACCAGGATGGGCTGTCCTGGGAAAGTAAAGACAGCCGGCGTAATGCTGACCACATTACCCACAGAGTGCTGATGGTCTGTAAAAATATGGGATGCTCTGCCCATATGCCTGATGCGCCGAAAGGCATGAAAAGGGAACTTTACTTTTCGTGGGTTCTCTCCCTGGTGGAGCCGGACTTTTCTTCAAAAAATGACCTTGGCTCCCAGGTCGACCCAGCTTTGAGTGGGTAACGGGTGCAGTCCTGGGAAGTAGAGGCGGCCGGCGTGATGCTGACCACATCACCCATCTTGTGCCGTTGGTCTATAAAAATATAGGTCTAGCCCTATATGCCCTATACGCCTAAAGGCGTGGAAAGGGTCCTTTACTTACTTTCAATTTAATAAAAAATGATTGGCAGTTCATGAACTAGAAGGCCATGTTACTGATTGGCTGTTGTACCTTCACTGTTAATGACTAACCTCCTTCCTCTTCCATGGCCTGTTCTAGAAAGGCCTTCTGTTTTGATGCAAACTCTGCCATCAACTTCTGCTGCCTGTTCCAAGCTTTTCTTCTTCTGTGGGGGAAATATACTAAGTATAAAGACATACAGACAACAGATACAGTTCTAATTTTGATAATGTGGCTAATTAACATTATCTGCTTCCAGAAAAAAAAAAGTGGCTGGAAATGCTCTTGTGTCAATGATCAAGTGGTACCTGGACATTCATCAGGCTGTTCTTCTCAAGCAGTGGAACTGCATGCGTTCATAGATGATGCTTGTTATCCTACCATACATTCCATCCACATACTTGGCTTTAGATGAAGACGTCTTTAGATGAGCTATTGAGTTAATCAACAAAAACGGAAATGCACAGAGAAGAAACACATAAAGGCCAAACTTTCCACGGGAAGTTCAATTCTCCAATGAAAACCCAGACTGGTATTGTAAGGTCATACTGAGAGCTTCAAATTAAATCTTTAAAAATGTGACAGGAACTATAAAAGCCATGCCATTGTCTTGTAACCTGTTAATATTATTATTAAGGATGTCAAGAGTATTAAGCACTTGATATCATGATGCAGATAAAGACATTTACATCATCGTAACAGTTTAAAGATGGCCACTCCACTTTTGAATTACACCAAAAAAGAGCAGCGTTTAGTTATCCATTTTTTTTAATCAGTGAAGGAATGAAACCTAAAGTAATCTATTAGTGAATGCAGGTCCATTAAGGTGATGTATGCTTGTGAGTCCCGGTGAAACCTGTGAGTCTCGGTGAAACCTGTGAGTCCCGGTGAAACCTGTGAGTCCCGGTGAAACCTGTGAGTCCCGGTGAAACTTGTGAGTCCCGGTGAAACCTGTGAGTCCCGGTGAAACCTGTGAGTCCCGGTGAAACCTGTGAGTCTCGGTGAAACCTGTGAGTCCCGGTGAAACCTGTGAGTCCCGGTGAAACCTGTGAGTCTCGGTGAAACCTGTGAGTCTCGGTGAAACCTGTGAGTCTCGGTGAAACCTGTGAGTCTCGGTGAAACCTGTGAGTCTCGGTGAAACCTGTGAGTCTCGGTGAAACCTGTGAGTCTCGGTGAAACCTGTGAGTCTCAGTGAAACCTGTGAGTCTCGGTGAAACCTGTGAGTCCCGGTAAAACCTAAAGTAATCTGTTAGTGAATGCAGGTACATTAAGGTGATGTATGCCTGTGTCCCGGTGAAACCTAAAGTAATCTATTAGTGAATGCAGGTACATTAAGGTGATGTATGCCTGTGTCCCGGTAAAACCTAAAGTAATCTATTAGTGAATGCAGGTACATTAAGGTGATGTATGCCTGTGTCCCGGTGAAACCTAAAGTAATCTATTAGTGAATGCAGGTACATTAAGGTGATGTATGCCTGTGTCCCGGTAAAACCTCAAGTAATCTATTAGTGAATGCAGGTCCATTAAGGTGATGTATGCCTGTGTCCCGGTGAAACCTAAAGTAATCTATTAGTGAATGCAGGTCCATTAAGGTGATGTATGCCTGTGTCCCGGTGAAACCTAAAGTAATCTATTAGTGAATGCAGGTACATTAAGGTGATGTATGCCTGTGAGTCCAGCAAGTGTATGAGTGGAGTAGGAAGTTTCAAAAAGGCATGACTTTAGAAAGAGACTGTTCATGACTGGGTGAGGTACACCATGTAGTGATCCAGAACCATTTTGAAACTTTCTGTTTCACTCATATGCTCACATTCTTTGGTCATGTGATGAGAAGAGAATCCTTGTGATGACTGGAAAGATTAGCAGTAGAAAAATTATCCTAGATTGTTTAGAATGGGGGCATGAAAGAAAATTATCAATATAATTGATCCAGAACACAAAGGAAAGCGATCTGGTGGAAAGATATTAGTGGCTGCACCATCAGAAGAGGCCCCTGGTGATGTCAGTGGATAAAACCTGATAAATCTCAGCAAGACCACTGGAAAAATATGTGACAAATAGGAAAAAAAAAAAGAATTTTTTTTGTATAAGATTTTGTTTTCTTTTTGCTTTGCTACAAATATCAAACCTTTACTCTGAAGGCAAATGAAAAAGAACAATCATTTATAACAACAGAGAAGACCAAAAGACAATATTCTTACTTGCTGTCTTTTTCTGTGTCTGAGGGCCCTGCCTTAACTTTTGCTACATTGAGAGAACGGCAGGTTTCATCAATAATCTGTGACGCAGGTAAACCGGTAGAGTACAGGCGATCAAGCAGACGTCCAATATAATGTTGTCCATCTCCACCACCCTCTGGCATTGAGGTAGATGCAGACGGTGACAGGATTTTTGGCTTGTAACTAAAATAAAAGAGATCCTTCTATATTAGAACTATAACAAAGTTGGTGATATACTTTTTAGACAAACATAATTTCACGACACAGTAATTTAGTCTACCAGAAAATCAGAGGTTAAAATAATCCCTTGAAATAGATAGGGACACATATATTCCCACAGCAGGAAAAACACTAATGTGTTGCACTACATGGTGCTAGAATGGAAAGTTTTAATATGTTAACAAAATTAATCTCTTGATAAACACAAACATTTGCTTAGTAAGATGTTGAGTGGCATACTTTTCTGAATGCAAGCAATTGTAGGACATGTAACAGTGAAATGGGGAAGAAATAGAAGCAACAGAGATGTGGATTTTGGGAAGCATGCTGAGAACATTGTGTTCAATTAAAAAAAAAAAACATCTCAGTCATCAGGGTAAAGATTCAACATCAAAGCATTCAGGACAAGCTAATATAGCTCCTACTTCTCAATAACCAGCAAAGAGTCTCCATACTTATGTTACCTATTATAATCTAGTTAGCTACCCATTTTGGCTTCCTCTGAGTCTCGAGTGGTGCCCAGAACCCTCAGACACTCCTCACTGTATCATTCTCCCCAGCTATGGGTTTTCAGTATCTTCTCTTTTACTTGTTACCGTCTTCCACTTTATGCCTTGTTCAGTTGCCGTATACACCGCCCTCCCTCTCCCAGTGGGTTCAGTCTAGCTAACCTATCTGCCTGGTGATTCCCAAACAATCCTGCATAGCTCTGCAACATATCCATGTGACTCTCATCAGGTAGGGGTGTGACATAAGGACTTCATATGTAGAAAGTTATGTCTGTAGGAAGTCATGTGGCTTGGCTTTAGTAACTTGAAAAGATAAAAGGAAAACTGAAAACAATGTTCTCCCAAAGTGTATTTCAACACTGTGGGCATAAACAATACACTGCATAATTGAGTGCCTGGTATATTTATTTCACTGTATCTTGCCAGGTGCATCGTTACAGAGTAAATCAACCTATAATCAGCCACACAAAACATGAATCCTTTCCAGCGTCAGAGATCACAATATTTTATCTGGTTACGATGTAGATCTCATTAACGGAAGTTCAAGACAACCATGTGGTTTTGCCGGAATTTCCTAATTTACAACTTGCTCTTTTTTGTCTTTACAATAAAGAATTGTTAATTTCTACTGTTACTGCATCAGCCAAATTCAGAGAAACTGTTTAACACCATGATTTATACTTTAAAAAGAAAATTTTGTGTTTAGACATTCTTCAAGATCTGACCCTGAAAAAATACAATCATAAACCACAGATCTCTGTTACTGGCTACATCAGAGACTACAATGGTTCAGAGAGAACAGTCAAAAGGAAAGTAGGGAACCTAGAAGATTGGGAGGGATCAACCAACATGACGGTGGACAATGAACTTTACAAACACCCGATGGATAAAAATCCAAAAGGCAGGGGAAAAGATGAAAGTTTAGGTCTTTTGGTGAGCTGGGATAATAGCTGTGCTCTGCAAAAACCTGATAGGCTTCAGTGCCAAACTGTATTTAGTATATACCTAGCTCCCATTTTAGTATGCAGCTTGATGAGAATGGAAACCAAACTTTCCTTGACTGTGATTCGCTTGGTTTTAAACTGAGCAGTAGCCATTCCTCTACTCTCGTATCTCTTGATGTGTGTCTTTGCTGCACTGGATGATGAGTGAGTTCCTGAGCCATAATTTGACACCACAGCCATTGATGGAATCTGTCCAATCTGGGCAGAAGTCACAGGTCCTCCTGAACCTGCAGAAACAATCAAACAAGTTATATTCCTGACCTGAAAGCCTACTGTCCTGAAAGTTAACTCCTCATCAGCAACATAAGGTGCCTTTCTGACTAGCAGGGAATTCGCTACATTGTTATCTCCAACAGCATGTATCAGTTCAAGAGTTAAAACTCTTCCATGCCATAATAAAAGACAGTTAAGTATCTTCTCTTATTATATTTTTCTATTTCATTTGCCATAAATCTTTCCAGTTGTCATACGTTCCAGTTTTCCTTTTCTTATAATGTGGCCAAGAATTGATGACCGTCTCTTTCTGATGTTTGTGATATAAAGTGTCTTTGGATTTCAGCTATTTCAAAACATCTTAATTAACATTTTCCCTCTCTAAAGAAATTTAAGCATTCTTCTGTAAAATTACATCTCCGAACCTTCAGTGAATTTTTCCAGGTTGTTTACAATTTTGTCCAGGATTCACAGCTATATATTAAAATTGACTACATCATCATATAGCAGGTCCTTTACAGATCATCCCTGTCTGCCTGAAAGAAACTCGGTCTCTCGCCAGCTGTCTCGCCTCATGTACTTTCATTTCAAGGAGTCACTTATATCCTGTGCCCATCTTTGTTTTGGTCAGCCCCTGCTCCTCTTTCTTGGTACCATGCCTTCTGCTATTATCTTTTTCAATCTGCCACGGTACTTGATATGACCAAATTATTTCAGCTTCGGAGACAAGATGCTGTTTTAATAAACAAACTTCCTTGATGTTCAGATCTTTCAAAATGTCAGCATTTCTTCCCTTCTTTGTCCATGGCATTCAGAGACAGTCCACGACTCACAGCCATATGTTGCTACGGAGAAGATGCATGCTCTAGGAATTCTAATTTTGGTATCCTTGCTGGTGCTTAACCACAGACTTTTAAAGCCATTTAATTAACTCTATACAGCAGACACAAATCCTTGTCTAACTCCTCCTTCTAACCAGACTAGGACTTACTGCATAAGGAAATTGCCGATGCCAATCATTTCATTTCTCAGTCAAGGTTTTCGCTACATTTCCAGTGGGGCCGAGCTGTTATAGCCAGTTTGACGCTGATCTCTACTTGTCTAAATCCTCTTGATGTTGTTATAGACACATAAGGCACTCACAAGTGATCTCCATTGTTGTTGGTCTGCTGCTTTTCTGCTCATGGTTTCCCACATCATTTTACATTCCTTTTTTCTCCCTTTTTGTGACCCTTTGAAAATATAGTTTGTTTGTGGGTTCCTGTGCTCGAATTATACTCAGAATTCTAAATAATATAATTCTTAGAATAAGAATTATTACTGTTCAGAAAAGTAAGTATAAAGTATGAACATTCCAGCATTTTGAATTAATATTCAGTTGTTGCCAATGATGTCTACTGTTGTGTTTTAAAAATGTGTGAATGAAATAATGTATCACACGAGTGAGGCCAGAATGTTGCACCAGCCTGTGTGCCAAATTCTTAACCCTCTAAAAAAATGTCTTCACTTGTTCACCATTCACTTTCTGCTGACGTTCTTCAGGTTTTCTTAGATTTCCCTCCCGAGTCTCCTTTTTCCACCGGACTGCGGTGTCAAGAGGCAATCTGCAAACTTGTGCAAGCCATCTCCATTGCCCTCCTTTGATAATATTTGCCAGTATTAAACATTTTAATATCTTCATGGTATGTGATTCTGTGTATCAGGCCTTACCTCAATGTTTTATTTCATGAAGATCTTTACTTTAAATACAATCGTCTAATTACGTTTAGCTACAAGGGATCCGCCTTGAGTACTAGAGGTTACAGGTTCAATCACTGGTAAGGGCTTTTTTTTTTTTACATGTAGACTTGGACTTCTAGTAATTCCCCTTGGTCTCGGGGTAGTAAGATACGGGCACCCGTGTGCATTTTTGGGCATGTTAAAAATCCCTTGGCAGTTGGACATCGAAAAGAGTAGCCAAACGGCGCTGCCCGGACAAAATCTGGAGTTTAAAATCTACCCAAAGTATTTCAAGATCCTCGCCGGTGCTACAGAGCCTGTGCACTGTGCTGAGCTTCATGGGACTCAGACTTGAGTTAGAAGAATGGTTACTACCCGTGTGGCATGATGTTGGTCAAACATTTAGCTACAAACTTATAACAGTCTACTTCTACAAATATTCCAGAATCATTACATAGCATCTTAGAGGAAGTGCATAGATCAGAAATGAAGGAAAAAGTCACAAATGATTAACAAGAGACATTTTTATAAGAAAAACAGCAAGTTAAAAGATAAAAAATCCAGACAAGCACACTCACATTCCTAATAGATATATCAATGGATTGAAGTTAGAATATAAACACAAATAGCAGGTGGCTGCAGTGAGAAATGGAAACAAAAACAATTAAATACAGAGGTTTTGAAGAGACTGCAAGGAAGGAGAATTAACTGCTGATGGAAATCTTGTTCTGAACAAGAGACAAGTGAAATATATAGTCATATTTAAAGACTTGACACTCTTATAAAAATCCCTTTCGAGGGAAAAGCGGAGGGTAATGAGCTAGAGGCAGGCAATGATACAAGTGGAAAAATAATATCAAGAGATGGACAAACAGCAGTCAGAGAGACTGTATACCCAGGGTGAAAGATAGAGCATGATGGAGATTCAATCCAGCCTTCATTGTGGAGACAGCATCTGATTGAGTGACTAAATAAAAAAAAATAACTGAAGACACAACGGATCAAAAGCTTACTAGATATTGTAGACGGCTGCAGCTGGAACATGGCTTCAAGACTGGAAGTATCCATGTCATCTGCAACAGATCCGGGTGACAGAATCTCTTCCTCGGTCACTGGAGTCGGCACGATAACCTCAGAAATGATGTCACATGCATTGGCCTTAACGTCGCATGTACCGTACCACTTGTCAAGTTGCCCATCATGAACTTGAAGGGTCAAACCAGGAACCTAATTTGGCAACAATGACAGTTTCTTGTAAGGATGACTAATATGACTTATGAAAGGCACTCAGGAAAAATCCAAAGGTGCCCAGTCCCCAACAATGAATGTAATTTTAGAGACAATGTTAAACAAATGTTTTAAAAAATTGTCCAGTGATAAATAATGATTTATAGCTAGCAAAATGAAAACAAATGAGACACAAATCTTTAAAAACAAATGAGATGATAAACCACAATGCACATATCTATTTAAATGGTATTTCTAAAATGACAAGAAATACCACTCACTCGATTTGGGAAATTCTTTGGGGCAAAATGCACGCACATGTTGAGTAAATGCACACAATGGAACAAGATGGCTTCTGGTAAACTCTTATCTCTGTTCATAGCCTGTGTAAAAAAAAAAAAAAAAAGACAAGTTCAAACATTGCACTAAATATAAGTATCAGTGAGGTACCCTCATCCATTAAATGATAAGGAACAAACAGAAAAAAAGGAAATTTACAGTTAAATGTTCATACATAATTAACATGTGACAGTGGCCGTCTCCCCCCTCCCTCCCAGAAACAGCTCTGACAAGCTAGCTAAACCAGGAGAAGGTAGCCGACAGGTTTATTCCAGCTGGCGAGTTACAGCATTTCTACCCTGTATGTAAAGACTAGATTTGCCTCTCTGTCTGTTTGTCTGTCCGACAAAACACAACAAGCCCTGCAACACGTCGATTCATGAATGGCAAGGGAGGTCATTCTCTTTCATTCGCTCTCATTGGTGAAAATTCAGACGAAGCAGATGCACTAATCTATACAGACGGATCCGTTATACGCCAAAGAAGAAGCGCATGGGCATTTACAGCACGCTCAGCGGGCAGAACAGTCAAAGAAGCCAACGGTGCCTTCTCCATGACAACCAGCAGCATGACGATGGAGGTGATGGCAGTGACGCAAGCGTTTGCCTGGCTTGAAACACAAAAATACACCCGCATATGTATACTCAGTGATTCAATGAGTATGATCCGGAGGGTTCAGGCAGGTTCAGTGCGAAGACAATGGCTTGAATCGTTACAGAAGTCCACTGTGCGTGGAGTCACCTTTATTTTTGTTCCGGGACAGGCAGGCGTCGATGGAAATGAAAGAGCTGACAGGTTGGCTGGATCCGCTATCACTACCGACGGTCGGCCTATGGATCACGCTGATATTATCAATGCCCTCAGAGAAATGGGAAGGATAGAGGACTTTGGTGGCAGTGAATCCACATCACTCGCCAGAATGGCAGACTTGGGAATTAAGATCGGCACAGCAAAAAACGAGACGCACACCGGACACGTCAGAAGACTTGTTAATCAACATAGAACTGGTACTATTAGCCATCGGACGTTGGGGTTCATACTGAGGGGAGGATCTGAGCACCTATGGACATGTCCGGAGTGCAATGACGATAACCCAACTAACTAACTAACTAACTAACTAACTATCTCTTTCTGGGGCAGAAAATGTAAATAGAACACTATGCAGAAAGCTTTTTGAAAAAAACTGTACACCTGGACACCCCTCTAGTATAGACTAGCCTGATCAAGCATCAATAAAAGGTCAGCTAGTGTGTAACTGGGCTCGAGTTGGTTACTTGTTCCAACATTTTTATTCACCCCAAATAATATCTCAATTTAAAAAAAAAATAATAATGACATCTGCCATGTCTACACAAATGAAGTTACAACCAAGCACCAGAGCTATTACAATTTTGTACTGGCCACTGCTCAAAGATGTCACATCATCAACAAGTCTGAAAGCCAGCTTTCTCAAGGCAACAGGGTTAATATTCAACATTCATCTTATTCATAACTAGGAGTTGTGATAGCAAAGTGGTTAGACACCTGCCTTCTGATCCAAAGGTCTTAGGCTTGAATCTGCATCAAGGAGAATTGTTACGATCGACCTACAACTGCCAGGCTGACCCAGTCTAAAATGGGTACTAAGATATATTTCAGAAGGTCAAGGTGGCAGACAACAACTGACCACATCTGAGTGTTAAATTGCCTATAAAAATATTGGTCTAGTACAATATGCCTTTTACTCCTTACTTATTGACCTAGCCTAATCTAGGCACCAGAAAATGTCTGGTGAAGGAAAGGCAGTCAGCATGATGCTGATCCTATAACTAATTGAGTGCTTATTGGTCTATAAAAATACAGGGCCAGCACCAGGTCCGATACACCTCCTCAATGTGTGGTAATGGGTCCTTTACTTAACTACCTTCTTGATTAGAGAGCTACGGCAGTTTTTTTATACCTTTTTTTTAAGTTTTACCCCTGTAGATTTGTATTCTGCAGGAATAACATCATGAGGATGAGAATCAAACAGGTACAAATCCTGGAGACGCCAACATAAATATATTATTAGTAAACAGACAAACAAATGACCTTGTGAAGCACAATAAAGAGGAATGCGTGCATCGTCTTGCAGTTCAACAATCGGTATATGCCAGTGTACGCTGGGTGAATATTTCCATCAATCTTGAAGGGAGGCCAAGGTGTTGTTTTTTTGGAGTATCCTTTGTTGTTTCGCAAACTGAGAGAAAACAGAATGAGATCACTGCATGGGTTAAGTTAAACATTAAAATTAAGAATGACCAAGAGTTACATTTACTCTAAATTACTGTACAGAGCAAAAACATAAACAATGAATAAACAATGTCACGGCAAAAAAATAGGAATGGTATAAAAACAGGGGTGGCTATGTTTAGCTGAAGGCAAAAAAAAAAAAAAAAAAATGGAAGCAATGTATTTCTGCGAATCTTAACAAAAAAAAAAAAAAAAAAAAAAGGTACAAAAACAAGCAAAGTTGTATCAGTGAGTTTAGTTTTTCAATTTTGTAATAGACCCACGATTCGTTAAAAAAGATCTTAGTAGATTTACTGCCCTGTCATGCTGAAGATAATAACGAACAAATGAGAAAATAAACTTCATTTTCAAAGGTATGAGAACAGGTCATGCAGACCTGCTAACATTCTGGTGATAACAAACATCATTGGCAACAACCAAAGAAAATGAGATAGTTTTTCTGCTGACGTTAAAGATACCTACAGCTGATAATGTGGCGATGAACAACTGATGATAACAGGAGACAAACATCAGGAAATCACCACAAATGAGGTTGCATAATGTCTAACAGCTGGAGTCAGAGTGTATGAAAAAAGCATATGATTGGTGTCTCAAGCACACAAGAAGAAACCTCAGACATAGAGGTAACTTAGACATGTGCTAGAGGACAATTAGCTTTAATAAAACAGCCAGATAATTGTAACTGTAACTAACTGGTAGGAAATGTTTTGAAAAACAGAAACTAGTGTCCTGCACTTGGAGTAGCTTACAGCACTTGTAAGACCGAGATCAGAATCATATTGTGGATTTTCTGTCCAGGATATTCAGGTATGTGTGGTAATGGACAGGCAGACAGATTGGCTGCTGCCCTGCCTCTGGGCAGAAAGTTATTTTAGGATGAAGCGACATGGTGAAGGCTCTCTGGGATCAAGTGAACAGTGCCACAAAGCATCCATATTTGGAGAGAATAATTCAGCTAGGAGCGAGTAGAGAACGACTGTTTACCTACAGGAAAAAGAACCAGGTGAACTTTTATGCAAGTAGCAACTGACAGCATCATTATAAAACTCTTCTATTGCTACTGAGGTAGCAGAAGAGGCCCATATGGGGGAAGTCCAGAGTGCAGTGATATCTATTCCTGATTCCCTCTTTGGTCAAATCATTTTTAATTTAAGCAGGGAAATATTCATTACCTGAACATTAGTCTATAGTGGAACATGCTGACCCCATTCACAAAACATTTACTAACAATGAATTTAACTGCTACATCAACACCAAGTGCCTTGTTGACTGACACAGATAATTATATTTGTCCAGCAATGGATATCAATGATTGTGCTGGCAGCTTAATAGGTTGTTTAGAGCCCACCCAACCAAAATTTGCCTCTATCTCTTATTGCAGAAATATTTTCAGCTGCCACAGATATTTTTTCATCAAATGGCTAAGAACATCTACCAGACTCTTAATGCTGTTTGTGAGAAGCTTGTCTGTGGTAACCGTTTTGGAACCACTTAGATTGCTCATTTTAATTTACAGCTGACTTCAATAAATAAACACTAATTTGGAAATGTTTTTTCAGAAACAAAATCCACAAACTTAATGTCTGCTAACAGTGAACAATTTTTTCCCTTCAAATAATTCCCCCCAAAAGACAGTTACCAAAGGGGCCACCCTCTTCATAATACTGCCCCCAAAAATGCTAACCCTGAAAAGTAGAAAACCAAAATACTCACTATTCAGTGTAGCGATCCATTGCCGACTGCATGTCTCTTCTATAAATAGCTCGCTGAGACACATGGACAGGATCAAAATCATTTTCCCACACAGATGCTGCAAGTTAAATTATTTTCTCATAATTCTGCATGGTAAAATATTCACGACAGAAATGAAATGTTTACGTACTATGCTAGGTGTAACGAGGAAAGATGATATCAGGAGGAGAGTCGGCACAGAAGCAATAATGAACTTTACAGGAGGACAACAAATCAAATGGTTTGGCCATGTAATAAGATTAGCATGAGACAGCACGTCCCAGAGAACAATGTTATCCAGATGCAACGGTTACAAAGCCAGAGGTCGGCCACGCAGAAGATGAACTGCAGAAATATCAGAGACACTGAAAAGTACTTTATAGGAAGCGAACAGAAGGGCCTGTTCCGGAGATCTCTACCTGCCCTGACACCGTGAAGCGTTCCAGCAGTAGAGACAAGAAGAAGAAAATATTTTTAGAAGAAAATATTTTCTCATAACTGTTTAGCTGACATTTCATCCTCACAGCATATCAACCCAATAAATAAGGCCATAATTGCTAAATCTCCTCAACTGAAATTCGGCAGCATTTAGCTGCTACTGTCATGTTCTGGGTTGGTTCTTCTTCTTCTTTAGCTTCCTGTATAGTGCTCTTGTCTGACCTCACTCCTTTTCACTTGCTGTTCTTGCAGAACGGTCATGGCTAAAGATTCCCACTTATAAATGTTTTCATAATTGTGACAATGAATAGTATTTGGCATAATTATAACTGTTCAACATAATTTGTGGAACAACATCATATCTGTATACTGTCAGCACAATTTCACAACTGTACAATGTATCAAGCTTTCTACACAATGTGAGACAATCACAGTAGCTACCAAATGTTACTGGATCAGTCATTAGTGAGAGAAAGGCCCAGGACCTCTCAAGCTGAGCTGAGTGCTTCAGAAAAGGACACAAACAATCAATCTGGTGCTGCCACTACAATAACGGTTCACTGCAGTGATCTTCAACACACTGTGACCTTTGTCCTGGATGAACTCTCTCATACTGCGATTCGTTTATATCTTTACTCCCAATTGTATCCCTCTCTGCTTCTTCCTCGCTTGCCTTTAATGTTTCCCTTCAGTATGGATTTTATAAGAATGTTAAATCTTTTTTTTTATACAGCCAAAATATTTCCCTTGTCTCTCGATTCTGAATCTCTTTTTATTCTCAGTCTCTTCAGTACCTATGTGTTTGATTGCTTTTGTGTGAAATACGACTCAGTCTTCCACATCTCCACAGACTATGTTCTAACTGCTATAAATGGATTATTCTAATTCAGATTAATTCCTTTTAAATACTGAGCCAGCACCATATGTCAAGTACTTCTTGTGCTGTCAAAAAAAAGTACATGATTTTATTAAAAAATTAGTGGAGTCACAACCGCATTAAATTCATTATGGCAAAACACTGTTTTGAATATTTTAAGCGTCTCCTCCCATGACCAACAGTGAAGCCGCTGGATTGATTATTTAAACTGAGTCACATATAATTTTTTTTTAAAATCTCATGCATAGAGAAATAGAAGTGTTTTAACCACATGCTCATAGATCTGGGATTTTATAGGTGGAGCAGATGGGGCACAAAGCAGTAATAATCTTCTGATTGCAGCAGAAGATTTTAAAAAAAGTCTCACCTGTTGTTAGAATTTAGCATACCTTTAGGTACATAAGTGCCCTGCTGTAAACCTCCGCCAGATTCAAAATTGGGGTCTTTGTATTCTGCAAGCTGGAAACAGAAGAAGAAAAATGCCATTACTGACTTCTGCAAGAAACAGAGGTCTTTGCATGACCCATGAGACTTTATGACAACATCTGTTATGATGCTCACTGAAAGCACTCTACCATGATCGCTAACCATTCCAAGTTTGGGAGCTACCTCTGACAACTACTTATGACTTTCTGGTCAACCAGCGACCACTGTGTCGATGCACTAGTCAGCCAACTATACAGCCATGTCTGAATTTTCATCGAGGTGTGAATTCTTAAAACCAGTCAACCTGCAGTGGGCATATGATGCTACAATCACATTTCTACAGATCAATGGTATTCAACAACGGAGGGGAGAGGGGCGGCGTTTTCTAACAAGGGTATCAAGCAATATTGCAACTTAGTGCTTTTATACTCGTAATAATCTGTTACACTAACATGTTTTCCATTTTAATTGTTGATAAAATATTCATTAAAAACAATTTATAAATTAAAAAGCTAATGGCATTTCTGTTTTCAGGAGCAGTTTATACATGTAAATCTACCATTACAAATCTAATAGGTTAACAAGTGCAGTTAATTATAGATTAAAAAGGGTAAGGGGAGGGAGGTGCCATATATTCAAAGTGGGCTCCACCTGAAAAAGGTTGAAAAACCCAGTTACAGACCAATTAGCACTCACTGGGCAAAAGTCAACATCAGGGTGGCTTTTATTTTCCAGGACTTTTTCTGGTAGCTATGTAAGGCTGAGTCAAACTGGAAGCAAAGCTCACAAATTACAAAAAAAAAAAAAGGCCTTGGTAATCCATGGGAGTTGCCGCGGCCCAGCGGCTAAACGCTCATCGCGGATCGGAAGGTCATGGGTTCGCTCCCTGGCGGAGCCGGACTTTTTTTAAAAATGACCTTAGCTCCCAGGTAGACCCAGCCTTGAGTGGGTACCGGGTACAGTCCCGGGAAAGTAAAGGCGGGCGGCGTGATGCTGACCACATCACCCATCTTGTGCTGATTGGTCTATAAAAATATAGGTCTAGCCCTATATGCCCTATTCGCCTAAAGGCGTGGAAAAGGGTCCTTTACTTACTTAATCCAAGATCTTTCTTTCAGGCTGGCAAGCAAGCGGCTGGCCAAGCTAGAATAAGTACCAGGAAATATTCTGGAAAGTAAATGTGGCTGCTGTGATGATAATCACAGAACCACAAAGCGATGAATGATCTTTATCAATGTGGGGTTGGCATCATTTACCCAATAATACAATGCTCCCGTTTACTCCTACACTTGAATGTAAACTGACAAAACGATACCTCTTGCAGTGTAGGCTCAAATAGCTCTTTAGACAGTCCATTCACTCCAGTTTTCTCCGGCATCAGATCCATCAGTGCACTGTGCTGCCGATCATTCATACACAGAAGAGATGCCATCTCTTTTCTGATGAGGTCTTTTTCACTGATACCTATATTAATATAGAAAATATAATTAATGAAGAAACGAACAAATTTTCTTTTTAAAGGGTCACAAATTGGCCACCCAGGCCTGTCTTACATTTAGCCTTTTTCAACACTGATCTTTCAACAGCAGTTGTTATGTTCTTATACAAACGAACGAACGAACGAACAAACTTTATTTTTAAAGTAAAGGTGGTTTAAAGCAAGGTGGTAAAATGCAAAAAGTATCGAATCAGGACAAAAACAGCCATTGAAATCAATATGCAGAAATGATTTCATGTGGACATGTAATCCATAATTTAGGTATCAGGACTGTAGAGATACTAAGTCAAGGCTTAACAACCCTTCTTTATTACATATAAATTCTCAGGATCATTTCACTATACACACAATACGTCTGATAATCAACATAGAACTGATGTGATCAGTCGTTTGCAACAGGGCAAAAATAGCCCTTAAAATCAATAAGCAGAAATGATGTCATGTGGACATGTAATCCACGATTGTAGGTATAAAGATGGTAGAGATACTAAGTCAAGGCTAAACAACCCTTCTTTAAGAGTGCCTATGGTGTGTTTGATTATGTATTCATGAAGTGTGTGCAATATTTCATTATGCATATTTTTTATATAAACAACAGAGAAAGAGACAGAGAGAGAGAAGGAGGTGGGGAGAGTTTACCTAAATATGTATGCATGCCAAACAGAGCCGAGAACAGAGAGAGAGCGCCCTCTACCATAGCTAGCTCCTGGGCAGAATCCATGGAAATTCCAATGCTGGTTGGTTCCGGAGAGTAGGATAACCAGTTCAAAATGTGGAATCTGGAAGAAGCCAACACTGATATATTCAGCCACAATAAAACACAAAATGTTCATCAACATATTTATGACATTTGAAAAAAGTATCTTAGATGCTATTATAATTTATTTCACTGTAACAAATAGGCTTTATGGATAATATAACAGCTTCAGAAAACACAGATTATTTATTTAACCAGGCAATGGCTTTTAAAAAAACAGCGATATGTTAAAAATGAGGTTATAAAAACATTTTATTTAAAGAAAAAACAATCAAATGTCTGACCTTTCCAACACCGTGTGTACGAAATAGTCTGGGTCAAGCTTTGTGGCTGATAGCTACAAACAGAAAAAAAAAAAAAAACAATATTAAAAAAATGAGACTGTTCATGGTTCAAGATCGTTTTCTGTGCACATCGGGCATACCCATAAGTACTCAGATCTAATCCTAAGCATGTCTGTTAGTGTGTTCATGCCAATGACTTCTGTCTGATACTGTTTTATGTAATGGCTGGTAGCTGTTGCATGGTTTTCACATTACAATGATCCAATAGGTATATCTAGACTTTGCATCTAAGTCTGAAAGAAAATTTTAACCTCATGACTTCAGTTTGTGTTGTCTCTCCTATAGCGTTGATTCAGTCCATTACAGATCATCTGTGACCCACATGAATCACATTAATGATTCTGTCATACTGTTTCTTCCATCTTCTATCTTTTATCTTCCAATGGAGGACCAGTCTTTACATTGGTTGCATTTTTCAGCTAAAGCCTTTTAGGGGTGGAACGGACAAATTTATGTCAACCTCCGTAAGCTGCCCTTTAGGACATGCATAGTAGGTTAGTTGCAGTGTTAGTGTTCCTGGGAAGGCTAACCCAGGCAACAGAATGCCTGATAAAACTGGATGTTTTGACTGAAAGGCACAAATGTCACAGCCATGCTGTAAACAGACACAACACAATCATGGGGTGACCAAAGAAGAAGAAGTGGTGTTACTATTCTTTGCTTACTTTAAGGGCTCTTCTAGCACAACATAATTTTGATTTTATTCCTGAAAAGAGAAAGTTATGCTGAATCTGGGTTATTCTGTTTGGGTCACGCTGGAGCATTATTCAGTAAATGAGCATATCTGTTGCCTTCAACAGTCCAAGTAACTGGAAGAATCCTAGTGGACAAGAGGATGGGGGGGGGGGGTGTGTGTGTGTGTGTGGATATTTTTAAAATACTGAAAGAATGTTAGAGGAAACAGAGTATCAAATGAAGCAATCTATTTAAGGATTCTTGGGTCAAGTGAGCATCATCATCATTTAGGATGGTTTCATGTTGAAGAATAGCAAACAGCTCCAAAGACAGTTCTTGCCACAACACTACAAGATGAGGAGGCATCATTCAAGTACAGCTTGGCTGCAAACACATGATCACAACACCTTATCCTCAGTATGCAATACTGGCATGGGGGGGGGGGGGGGGAAGAGGAATTTTTGCCTTTAAATCTTCTCTAGTCATTATGTTCACTTCTTGTTGCATACCTGGAATTTATTATTGCCTTGACGTTAAATTAGAAGAGAAGAGAACAAAAGAAAAAAATCAGGAGTGAAGAAATTGGAAGAAGACTAGGACAAACCAGTCATTCAATTCATTAAAGAACAACAAATGAGATGGTTTGACCACCTGACAAGAATGCCCTGGTACAAACTGCCACAGAGAGCCACGCTGAAGAAATATAATGAACACAGAGCAAGGGAAAAACCTCGCAAGAGATGAAGCGACATCATCAGGAGCAACCTAACAGAAATAAACACCAACTTGTACAATGCATTGGAAAAAGTGCACAACCGATCCTTACATCTCCCCCCAACACCTCGATGAAGTAAACAGTGGAAGAAAAGAAGAAGAAGAAGCATAAGATGTTATATTACATTTGTTTCTCTCATATAGGTTCTGGGGGAGACAACTATAGATCCACTACCCCATAACATGTATGGCATAAAGGGCGATTAATTAGGGATTTTTCCATCAGGGAGGCATGTGCTTAAGAGGCAAGAAACCAACAGTCTCCATATAAAAAACCTAGATCTGTAAAATGAAAATGCACACCACACTCAAGTTCTGGAACAAAACTAAAGAATATAAATAACTTCCTAGTGGAGTTTACAGCTGGTGAGCACTACGATGAAGCCAGAGAAGGAGAGAAACTATTTGTCTCAAACAAAGAAACTATGTCTGTCTCAAACCTGATGAAAAGATGCACATGGAGAGATATGATTCCAAGAAGAGGGAATCTTTGCAACAATGTGAAAATAAAGAATATTGTTATCTTAGCAAGCATTATGTTAAAGACTACAGATATAATGAATGACCTACCTGTAGTAGAAACATGTCTGCATCTGCCATAGAGTAGCAGAAGTGACACTGAATGTATGTCATTGCCTGACCTTTAATCTGGATTCCATTTCGTACCCACATTCCCGCATAAATCTGTGTCAGACAGGCCTGAAAGTAAAGGGTTATAGGGACAAACAATTAAGTAGGACAATCTGGGAAAGTGGAAAAACAAATAGGCGTTATGTCCCTGATTGTGTTTACAAGCAATCTTCTTTTTCTGCATGGAGCATAGGCCCTTAACCAACTCATGCCAAGTCATTCTATCATTCATTATCACATGCAGTTCTCCCTACGTCCTCCCAATCTTTTTCACTTCACTGTCTAGCTCCCTGTGGGCTCTGTGGCTAAGTCGATGCATACGCTTCATAATGCCAGGGTGCCGGGTTAGATCCCAGCTGTGGGCCATGTGCCTTGCGTTGGTTTCGACAGTGTTATCAGGGGCTGACCGACCAGAAAGCAATGGCAAACTATTAGATGTAAATTTGCCTAGAGAAACCACACAACAGCCAGGGGCTGCTGGGGTTGGTTCTGCAACGTCCTGTAAAGGATACACAACTAACCTAAACTCTAGCTCCCTTCTCCATGCATTTTTTGGTACTTCTTTATTTCTATGCCCCTGTGGGTTCCAGTGCAAAGACATTCTAGTTATAGTTTTCTCAGGTTTTCTCAACGCTTATCCTTTCCAAAGCCAGCATCTTTTCTTCACTTCTTGGTCCACTGAAATTTGGTTCTCTTCCAAAAAGGACTCACAGCTTCCCATTCTATCAGTGCCCTCTCTGCTTCTTTAAAAGCAAAAAGAGAAACAAGAAAAACAGAGCCAACCAATATGAGGGAAGGCTCTTCTAGTAGAAGAAGTATGACATGATGAGGAGAAAGCAGAAAAGAGTCTGAATCAGTTGAGCTGAGCTGAGTCAAGAATTGACATCACAGCAATCGGGACACTCCCGTGTGTGCTCTGTCCTCATCTTCAGCAGCCAGAACAGAGTTTGAATACTGATGGTACCGGTCACAATCTGGTTAAATGTCCTCTTGCCTGTCCTCTGCAGTGAGCCGGCCAGATCCTTTGGTTACACCCAGGTGCTTCATTCTCTCCAGTCCATAATAATCTTCTTTCTCTACCGATTCCATTGCTTGTTCCCATGGGCCTTGACCATATCTGCTTTGTCAAGTATCAATTCACCTCTCAGTGGTGCAGATCCAGCCAATCTGTCTACATGTTCGTTACCCACCACGTCGGCATCGCCCGGAGAAAAGATTCAATGTATGCTCACTACCGTGACCTTCCCAATGAAGCTTGTCACTTTGCTCAAAGCATCCCTGTCTTCACCTTTCTCAGCATGCCCTCAGAGTCTGTTACAATGTGTATGCATCTTGTTCTCTAGCCACCAGAGAGCTGTAGTTACCACCCCCACCTCTATTCTCATGCCAGATGTTGTGATGTCGTATGCCTGAATCATCAACACACCTCCTATAGGCTAGGAAAATCTCTAGAATTGGCACCTGGAAAAATTAAAACTTTATACAATGTAGGAAGAACAATAGAAGTATTAGGGAAAATTAACAATTATTGGATTAGTATTTTATTATTATATGAAACTAGATGGACAATTTCTGGTGATTTTCCTAGCTTAAAGGAGGTATGTCAATGATTCAGACTCCTTTCGATTTTCTCTGCATCATGTCATACTTCTTCTACTAGAAGAGGCTCCTCTTATCTTGACTATCTGGGTTTTTCTTGTTTCTCTTTTTGCTTTTCCATGATTAGTTGGTTTTTGTGGCTATTATTTTTAATGGATGAAGCCAGCCTCGACCCTGCCTTTGGTCGCCTCTTACGACATGCCTAGTAGGGTGCAGTGTTACTATTCATCGCTTCCCCTGATGGCACCGGTGGTAATAAAGGTAAAGTGTGGGCCATAATATCATGGTTGTGGAAACACCAGAGACGTAATATAGGTAAAGTGTGGGCCACCATATGATGGTTGTGGAAACTCCAGAGAGGAAAGTCTACATTATAATTAAACCACAAAAACACTTATATTGCAGTCACCAGTGTAGTATGTGATGGACTTACAATGTATACCATATTTTTCTAAGTATAAGGCACATTGATGTTCCAAAAAGTATAGTCTAATTACAAAGTGCATCTTAGAAAAAGGCAGTCAATAATTTCTTGCTTTCAATTTCTGGTCTTAAAATCAAGATACATTTTATAAATGGAAACATTTTTTACTTGGGAAAATACAGTAAATAAAAAACTGCAACCATGTACTATATTCAAAGATTACAGGGCCCCCTGAGAGGTACATAGTCTGCAAACAATTGGAGATTATAGACTCAACAGACTTACCTGAATCTGCAGCACATGCAACATGACTTTCTTCAGCAAGTTCTCTTCCGGCAGCAGCGTCTGCAGATCCATGTCATGGTTTCTCACACCAGTCATGATAAAAGTTGCCAGATATCGATGCAGTGGAAGGTGAAAGGTCAGCTGATATGGATTGGGCTGATTTGACAGATTTTTTTTTTAATCATTACTGTTAGAATTTTAGCTACGAAACATAGCAGAATTTAATCCAGCCTGGACCAGAAAATCTAATCTTGCAAAAATAAACTTAATGATAACTAAATGCAGATGGTTTTCCGACATAAATAAACAGAACAACATAATACTGAATGTAACTAGAAAAAATTATTTAAAAAAAAATTCTTGACTTTACTAAGGCAGAGTGAGCGCCCTACACTTTAAAATTTGCAAATGTCCAGGACAATTAACATTCTACTTTTTTGGGGGGAAGGATCCCTGTCCAAGAAGACGTTCAAACTAAACAAGGATGGGGCAGAGTGCGTAATTTGTTAGGCTTTTTGTGTGTGGTAAAAACAACCCAAATTTGAATTCACACCTGGAACTTTTTAAAAAAAAATCTTTGCCGTTAAATGGCACAATGAAGCCACTGTAAGACTTTTGTAATAACTTTTCTGTTTTCTTCCCAGTTTAACCTGAACAAAGTAGTTGGCACACTGTATTTGGGTTGACAGCAAGGTGGAGGTATCAGCCCAGTACATCCCATTCCAGCAAAGCTCCAATTAGTCATCTTTTATGACATGTTTGTTAAGGGGAAAAAGGGGAGGGGGGAGCAGATCCATCCCCATATGGGGATGATCTGGAGCCCATACTGGAAAGTAATGACTTTGAATGCATGTTAGGCTGATGATACTGTCTTGATATAACAGGCCATTAAAAGAAATTACAGAAAAATTATGGATAAGTGGTTTTAGAAGGTGATACAATCTTCTGACAGCGAAATGGGTTATCTAACCATTGTGAAACATGTCTGATTGATTTGTACATTAGCCTCAGTTATATATATTTTTTTCTTGCTCAATCTGATGTCACTTTATTTGATTCAGCCTTTCACTGAACCACTTATAGATAATTTCATACATTTAATCAAAAACAGAATATTTAATTTTTAACTACTACTTCTGCTTTTCTAACCCCCAATGGAGCATAGGCCCTCAAACAACTCATGACAAGTTGTTCTTTTCTCCGCTATCGCATGCAGCTCTCCCCAGCGCTTTAACTTCACTCCCAATTTCCCTTTTCCATGTGTTTTTTGGTCTTCCTTTATTTCTATACCCCTGTGGGTTCCAGTGCAAAGACATTCTAGTTATATTGTTCTCAGATTTTCTCAATGTGTGTCCTTTCCAATGCCAGCATCTTTTTTTCACCTCTAGGTCCACTGGCACCTGTTTAGTTCTCTGTCAAAGCTCAACATTAGTGATTCAATCTTACCATTTATGTCCCTCTATTCTGCGCAGGCAGCAGTTAATGAATGTTTGAGGTTTATTAGTAAGTGCATTAGCTGTTCTCCATGTTTCCGCTTCATACAACAGCACTGATTTGACATTAGAATTACAAATTTTAAGTCTGGTATTAGTTTTAATTTCCTAATTTATTTTTACTTGCTAAAGGTTTAGTATCAACCATATACTATGTTTCTTTAACTAATATTCTTCCTCTTCTGCATTTGCCTGGGGGATTGACATTTTTTGCTATGGTATAAAGCTAAGCTGTGATACCTGCTGGACAGGATTCCATTAATGATATCGAAGTGATTACACAGGATTGAATGGAACTCAAAAATAACTGCGAGCTCTATATGACATATAATGGCACAGCAGGACTTACACTTACTGTTATGGGGCAGTGAGATTCTACCCTCCAATGGGGTGGAACTAACACAGGGATGTAAACCAGATAAAACATCAGATTTAAGATATAATTCAGGGTGTCTGTGAGGAAGAGCTTGAGCACACTTTGTCCAGAGTTCGATTCTTGTGAAATCTCCCTCATCTTGGGTTGGTAGATCAATATTTGTACGGGCAATTATTCTCCCATTGAAAACCACACATGCCTCCACCAAGTACCTCCACATTTGTTATACAGAAGGACAGTGTGTGTGCGTTCATGTCCGCCTGTATGTATGTGTGCGTGTTCGCATGCATGTATATAAAATGTTAAAAAGCAAACACAACACAAAACAAACTCAGTTTGTAACACTTGATCGTTCACAACTGGTTGCATGTACCTTCATGGAGTCCAGGAAGTTGATTGCTTCAAACCATTCTGATATTGCTGTAGTAGCAGCCTTGATCATATTGAATATATACTGGCTGGTGTCCTGAAACACAATCAATTTATAACCAGTGATCGCAGGATCTTTCATTCTGATGGACAAAGCACTGCAATAACATTCATTTGATGTCTACTATTATTTAAAATTCTTTTTTCGAATGATATCCAAAATGCAGACAATGACTGTATTTTATATCTGAACACAAGACTGACATCAGTAGGCAACTCGATCAGTTTTACTTTTTCATGATAATCAAACGTTTTCAGCTACAGTTTTTAGATGCTGATTTGTTGCGTTGAATATCTCTTGAAGCTAGTTGATTCTCATCTTTTCGTTGTTAATTCCACAGCCTACAATGCTAAAGGAGAAAAACTATCAACCTTACCTACATACATGTTTGACGGCCCACCGTGACTTTTCCGCAGCCCACAAGTGAATCGATGCTCAAGGGCTGAAAAACACTGGTCTTTAAAACTGTTCATTTAAATATCTTTCTAACTGACTCACAGAGCATGTTAAGAAAGCAGAGTGGCAAGCATCGCTTCAGAGGTCCTGGGTAGTTAGCGCCCTTTGGATATTTTCTCCAGATTTTCTCCGGGTTACGCCGGTGTAGCGTGATGCTGACCACATTTCCCATCTTGTGCCAATTGGTCTATAAAATATAGGTCTAGCCCTATATGCCCTATAGGCCTAAAGGCGTGGAAAAGTGTCCTTTACTTTTTATTTTTTATACGCCGGTGTGTTGGGAAATGAGCAGGCAGATAGACTCACCAGTTCTGCACCACTAGGGGATGAACGGATTTATGACAAGTGAGATGTTGTGAGGGCCCTTTGGGGGCAAGTGAACAGTGGGGAGGCACAGATAGATCATTACAGAGGAGAACGGCGCTGCGAGGAGTTACCAAGGGATCTGACCGACGCTCAACACTCAGGGGAAATGCGAGAGGGATGTACAATGAGAGAGTTACTGGTGACTTTGGAACTGGACCTCTTCGCTTGCTGCTGAAGATGGAGCGTTTAAGAGGATGTCTCAAGTGCTATGATGATTCTTAATTCAACATTCAACAACCTTCATTTAAAGATCATCTTCACTGCACATCAGACATGACCATAAGTGCTCCAATCTCCTCCTGAGTACATCTTTAAGTATTTTTAGGGTAACAACTTCCATTCTGTTCTGGTTTATGTAACGACGGGTGGCTTCCACATGACTTGCCTGTCTCGTTGCTCCAACTGGTACATCCAGGGGCATGCAGTCTATGCAGTGAAAAATCATTTTCCACAAAAAATGAAAGCCTCACAGCGCTTAGTCTCTCGTTGGTCTATACCATGCAGTGCTAGTCAACATGGCGGCAAGGCCACTGTCATTTATCACTCGCTGCCTAAAACCATGTGTCAAGTATACTGCCAACTGTTTCAGACTGGGATTTTCTTCCTTACCATGTTGTTAAATTTTCAAAAATTATCTCCTGGTCTCGCTCTTTAACTTTCATATTTTTAAGACATACTTCATTTTCCAACATCTCATGACATTGAGAAGACATAATGCAGATTGTTCTCTTCTGATGTTGGTTATTATTTTTCTTTGTGAGCAGATTTGTTGGGGATTTACTAATGTTATTATCCCAACTGCCAGTTCTGAGATTCATCAAGGTAAAAGAATGGGAGGCAGCAATGTTTACGTCACAACTCCTCTGCACTGCACTAGGCTTCTTGATAGAGGGCCTACTATCTTTCATTCTCCATGTGTTGACACAGTGATAATTAATTCTGTAGGGAAACGTTAACTTTTATTTTGTGGTAAGTGATATTTTTACAACAGTTCAGAGAGTGCGCAAAGAGGCAGATGTACAGTAAGGATTCACTGAAGAATATGCAATGATAAAATATATAAAACTTAAACTCAACCATGTATGTCTGTCATAATGAATGCTCCCAGTAAACTCTGCCCACTGTGTTAAAGCCTGCCCACTGTGGTGAACCCTGCCCACTGTGTTAAAGCCTGCCCACTGTGGTGAAGCCTGCCCACTGTGGTGAACCCTGCCCACTCTAGTGAACCCTGTCCATGACGGTGAACCCTGTCCAATGTTTTGAGACCTGCCCATGATGATAAAGCTGGTTCAATCTGGTGATTCTTGTCCATAAAATATTTTAATTTTTCTTACTCAAATCTCATTTATATCATTTTCTTTAATTTTTAAAAGACCCTGTTTTCTTTGCTTGCCATGAGGTTACATGAAATGCAATGTTTGAGATGATACACCTGGCAAACAAATCTAAAAAATGGCTGATCCTCAGATGAAGAAAACAAACAATCGGCATACATGATAATCAAACTCACAGGGGCCTGGCAATGCATAAGCAATGACCACATGGGAGAGGCAGAAATCTCCAGCTCAGCAGAGAAAGCAGCGTAGTATGTTTCTGGTTCAAACTCCACATGTTGGCTCAGCTCTCGGGTGTTCAGGTTCATTCCTGGACACGGAACAAATAATTATCAGACAGGAAATCATACCAAAAATACATGTATGATTTTCTGTTGCTGTCTCTTTCTCTCTTTCTATATATGTATGTACGTGTGTGTATGGACGCAGCCATGGTGTAGTGGCTAGATGCTCACCTGCGGATCCGAAAGTCATAGGTATCAAATCCAAGTGAAGTTGGACTTCTATTAAAAATGACCTTGGCATCAAGGTCGATCCAGCCTTAAATGGGTACCAGGTAAAGTCCAGGGAAGTAAAGGTGGCCAACTTGATATTGACCACTATATTCCCAATACACATAAAGGATAAATATATATATATATATATATATCCATGTGTGTGTGTGTGTGTGTGTGTGTGTGTGTGTGTGTGTGTGTGTGTGTGTGTGTGTGTGTGTGTGTGTGTGTGTGTGTGTGTGTGTGTGTGTGTGTGTGTGTGTGTGTGTGTGTGTGTGTGTGTGTGTGTGTGTGTGTGTGTGTGTGTGTGTGTGTGTGTGTGTGTGTGTGTGTGTGTGTGTGTGTGTGTGTGTGTGTGTGTGTGTGTGTGTGTGTGTGTGTGTGTTTTTTTTTTTTTTTTTTTTTTTTTTTTTTTTTTTTTTTTTTTTTTTTTTTTTTTCAAAAGTAGCAAAGACAATGTGGGTGTAGGGAGAGCTGTGGGAAAGGAAGGAGTCAACACAATTAATATCAATGGAGAAAGATTAGCAGAGTTATGCTTGCAGTAAAATCTAGTAATTAGAGATACCATTTCTGCACACAAGGAAATTGATAAATTAACCTGTAATTCACCAGATGGGAGTGACTAAGAACCAGAATGACCACCTCTGTATCAACAGAAAATTCAGTACCTCTTTAATGAAGTCTGTGCATAAAGGGGAGCAGATGTTGGAAGTGACCGCAACCTACGCATAGGACAACTGAAACTGATACTCAAAGCAGCTGTTCAAAAGCAAACACAACAGAGAATGGATAGCCAAAGACTTTGTAACAAAAAAGTTCAACAAGAGTTCCAGTTTGAACTTAAAAAACAGGTATAAGATTCTTGAAGAGGAGAGAGAAAGATCAGCACACTGAAAGCAAATGGAACAATATAAAGACCACTGTCTTGGAGGCGGCTATTAGTAGTGCAGGATTAAAGAAGAGTGATCGAAAACCATGGAAATGTGATGACACCTGGCAGTAGCTTTAGAATAGAAAGACAGCAAAACTTGCAATAGGTAATGCTAAGACAGCAAGATGAAAATAAAGCTAAAGAAGATTATAGGAAAAGAGACAAACAAGTAAATCATCAGTAATAATGTCGACGAGAGGAAAATAAAACCAAAAACTGATCTACTAGGGATAGTCTGATACACATTAGGTTACTGTGCATGCCATCAAGGAAGAAATCCAGTTTCATATACAAGAAGTTACTTCTTCGTGTCATTCAACTATGAAACACAAAAATTTGATGTAAAACACTAGGTTATCATTCAACAATGAAAAAGTAATTTGATTTACAACTGGTAACCTTACATGTCATACAACTATAACATACAATAGGTAATCATGTTATTCTTTATGTCATTCTATCATGAAACAAAACAGTCGGAAATACAACATTAGGTTACCCTGCATGTCATTCAACAAATCCAGCCACAACTCAATCAGCTTCTCGTCGGCCAGAAACCTGTGGGCTATTCTTTTATGCGACAGCACATTGATGAGATCACTGACCACTGGCCAGTAGCAGTGGTCCTTCATAATCTCATGCTCACAGCTGACCACACTGTGGAAGTTGGTCTTCATTTCAGGATCTGTAAACAATGAGTTTGTTATTCGTTAAAAAAAAAAAAGAACAGTAAAGGACCCTTTCCAAAAAGCTTATGATGACAGATAAAATCTTATAAACCTAACAACCCATGATGGGTGATGTGGGCAACATCACAACGACTGCTTCTGCTTCCCAGGACATTAACTGGAACCAAATTTAGGTTGGTTGACCTGGCATATGATAAACAAGAAACTGGGAATGAGTCTCTGGAAATATGGATCTACAAAAGAATGGATCGTATTTCACGTAAACAAAATACAGAGGTTCTCAACATACTGTGAATGAAAAGAGAGTACTTCAAGGGACAATTAAAAGTTTTTAAGTCACATTAAAAGACATAACATCATTTTTTTAAAAACAACACTGGAGAGAAAGTAAAAGGCAAGGGAGCAAGGGAAAAACTGTAGAGCACTCTTGAGAATTTTTTTTACCCAGCTATGCACCACTTTACGGTTGTCAGCATAAACAGGAAGCATTTCTTTTTGAATGTCCTTTGCGCCCATCCCCTTATCCTCCTCCTCCCCCCCCCCCCCCCAAAAAAAAATGCACAACAGCAGGTTGTCTTTGAGGGTAAACTCTGTAAGTACAGTTGCTAATTTTGTTTCTGTGTTACGAATGTACATGCAAAAAACTAGAGCCACCTAATGATCGGAGACAAAGTCTGATGTTGCTATCACCTAATGACACCTTTAAAAACCATCAACTACAATTTCCTGCCATCCCATAACCATTTGTGACTTACTTACTGACTTCCCCTCGTATCTACTACATTCTACACCATTAACACTTAGAACATTAAAACTGAACATGTATATCAGTTCCTTTCTTCTTTTATCTTTTTAGAGAACTTATATCTATATATAAATATTTAAAAACAACCTAATAATTAACTTTGCTATTGCAGTATGTGGTACATCTTTACCTGTGTATAAGTGTGTGCATATCGATGTGTATGCACAAGCAGATATACACACAGCAAAAGCTTTTCAGAGCTCAGGTACGAATTATGGAGATATCAAAAACTAAATTCTCACAAATTCTTTCTGTAAATAAATAAAATCCTTATATGTTTACTCTTCAGTAAGCAGAGACAGAGGAAGGCCATACACTACCTTCTAGAGTACTCGGCACTCGGACGCTCTGAATCATGTTAGCCAGGCTGAGAATGATTGTCAGAAGTAAGTTGTACTTCTCGGCCAAGAAGACGGCCAGATGCTCACTGCTAAACAGCTGGACACTAATGTGGACAATTCTGTTGGCCACAGTTGACCTCTCTGAAGCGTTGATCAGCACAACAGATATGCGAGAGTAGTGCTTCACAAAAGCTTTAGCAAAAGCTTCCTGTACAAGTAGAAAACGTGAAATCACACATTTAGATTACTCAAAACTCTTGTGTGGGTTCTTGAGCACTTTAGAAGGGGGAGGCGGCTTGGCCCCTCCTCCAGAAAAACATTTCGTAAAAGGTGCTAATTAAAGGTTTGGGGTTTGCTAAAATGGGTTGTGTTGGGCTGAAAGGCACAGATATCACGACATAGCTGTAAATCACAACATACCCTTTTAAGAGCAAATGCAGAAGAAGAAGAAGAAGAAGAATAAGAAGAAAAAGAAGAAGAAGAAGAAGAAGAAGAAGAAGAAGAAGAAGAAGAATTATACAAAACAATGTGTATATAAACTGAGTTGAGATGGGTCAAGAACCAACATCATAGCACTCAGGATATTCCAATAAGTGCACTGTCCCTAGCTTCAGCCGCCACAGCAGATTTCCTATTCTGATGGTACCAGGCAGTATGACTGTATGTAGATCTTGCATTTTCCCTGAGTGTAGACTGTCAGCCAGATCCCCTTGTCCCTCCCTGCTGCCCAATTCTCTTCAGGTGGCGATGATTTAAATTACTGCTAAAGAAATATTAAAAAGTAAATAGTCAGGTATGAGGAATGCCCAGGAGTGTGCCCTGCAGAGGTTATTAGACTTCGTCCCTAATGAATGTGTACTCAAAAGAGAAGGTATGCCAATAATGTACTTTCTACTGAAGCAAACACGCCTGTGTTGGCTAGGACATGTCTCTTGCATGGAGGACATTCGCAATCCAAAGGACTCCTGCATGGTGAACTGATAATAGGGAAAAGATCTGCATGAAGGTCAAAGTGATGCAATAAGGACATATACAAAGGTCTTCTGAAAGACGCTAACGCTGACAGACACCTGGGAGAGATCAGCTGCAGATCAACTTCTATAGGAAGCAGATTTTGAGAGATTGACTGCTGCAGTTTGCAAGAGGTCAAACTCTGCAAACTATAGAGAGAAGATGCCTAAAATCAGCCTCAGTTATAATAGAGTATCAATGTCTGTATGTGGACTGTGTGACAAATACTGCCTCTCCCGCATCAGACTTTACAGTCACAGCAGGCACTGTTCCCATAACTCATAGGGGCTGATAGTTGTCTTCACAGGTATGCAGAATCCTTGGCTAATGTTTTTTTGTTTAGAAGCCTAGATCCCTGATACATTACCCAAGGATTCTGCATACCTCTATCTGGGAAAGCAAGGTAGGAAGCAAGTAAAATGATAAACACTTCATGACCTGGTATATAAGAAGACCGAACACATCACAACCCAAAAGAATGTCTGTCATAGAATTCCACTTACCTTGATGGCCAAATAGCAATAACTGCTGGGAAGTTGCCCATGTCATTTGAACATCTCTTTTAACTATCCATATTAACATTTATGCAAAATCACGATAAGATGCCTGAAAAAAGCCGCCAACCTACCATCTGAGATCGAGCAAATAATGATACTATCAGACAGATTCTGGGAATGACACCTTGTACTAGCTTCATTGAGAAAAAGCAGATCAAGTGGTTTGGTCATCTCATCAGAATTCAGCAACACCAAATACCATCACAGGTACTAATCTCAAAAGATCCGCTACAACAACAAGAGGCTGGCCACACACAGAAAAAAAAAAAAGATGGATCTGCAATAATAAAGACACTCTGGGCCTGACAAAGGCCAGCATGTGCTGGATCGAAAATGATTCCTTCTCTACAATGCTTAACGGCAGAAGTGAATGATGATGATAACAATTATTGGCTGGGCAGTGTGAGACAGAAAATGAAAGGTAGGGGTGGAGAATTTACAGCCGCATGGCTTGTGCAGTCACCCCCAACTCTGCAAGTTTATTTTCTAGACCTTGCCCTGATTGTGCTGCAATGAGTGGTATCGACGACTGAATGCAAGTAAACTTGAAAACTGAGTCTGTCCAAGCAACATACAGTGACTATGAATATCTGGCAATTTGTAATTGTGAAGATGAATGTCAGCGTGATGATTACCGTTTTCTGTTGAATAATAAGACGTGAATCTCAAGTAGGTCAGCGATCGTCTGAGAATGTTGCATGCATGCAGAATATTCTGTCCTAAGGAGAGGCCTTGTGTGTGTGTGTGTGTGTGCGTGTGCATGTGTGTGTGTGTGTGTGCATGCTAACAGGGGACAGACAATCCAGCAGACTGGAACAATACTGAACGTAATGTACATGAAGCTTTGTGTTGCAGTTTATCCTTGATTTCTGCTTGATAAATACTTGGATAGCGTAGCCGTAAAGACTGGGTGGGACAAGAACATTAGCCAGATCCATCACTTGTGATCATGTGAGTTGGTGAAATAGCCTACATTTATCGACATGGCAAATGATGATGAATATATTATACATGAAGCTTTGTGTTGCAGTTTATCCTTGATTTCTGCTTGATAAATACTTGGTTAGCATAGCCGTAAAGAGTGGGTGAGACAAGAACATTGGCCAGATCCATTACTTGTGATCATGTGAGTTGGTGAAATAGCCTACATTTATCGACATGGCAAATGATGATGAATATATTATACATGAAGCTTTGTGTTGCAGTCTATCCTTGATATCTGCTTGTGGTTTGTCACTAAAATGGTCAAAGGATACCAGTCCAACAAAACATGACAGTGTGTTTATATGCACAGCTTAACTTACCACACAACTTCTTCTTCTTTGCGTTCACCAACTGTAAACTCAAGTGGAAAGTTCAGGTTGTTTGTCCACCTCTGGACATTAGTCCAGTTCCAGAACCTGAGTGCTGAGTGAACATCCATTTTACAGATCTGGATTATTTGTATGCAGACTCTTCATTCCTTGCCTTTTGGGCAGATGCACCCCCACTTCAATGGATGCCTCCATTTAGTGGACTCCTCCGACATGCACATTTATGAGGCAGTGGATCTATTTTTGTTTTTCCTACAATGTGATCTCAGCACCCATAAAAACAAAAATGAAAGAATGCACACAGATTAAAAACAAAAACACAACACAATGAACTTTGCAGTCCTGTCTGCACTGACACTAACCTTATACAGGTCATCAGGCAGCAGGCCCAACAAGAAAGTCACAAGACGCTGTGGAAATTCAAATCTCAGGACCCAAAACACAAGCTCCTCAATAATAGTAGTATACTCCAGCCGTTGATTCATCCCTGGCTCATCTGAACAAAAGACCAAATTAACATCCACAACTGATATAAAAGATTACCATCATCAAGATGTGTTTTTGCATCACGGTTTAGGTGTTGTGTCTCTTTGCAGATTTAAGTCCTTGGTGTTCAGGGTCAATTTTATTTACACTATGCTACACAATCACCATCTTAGGCAATCCAGCCTTCGGTCTGACTCCAGCTCCTCTACTACTGAGTTTTCTAGTTGTTACAAAGTTTTCCAGTGCTTCTTTTCTTCCCAAACCTACTAAGACCAGTCCCAAGCCCTGCTAAAAAGGAGGAGGGTTTAGCTGAAACTGAGTGCTTCACGTGTATCCAGAAGCAGTAAGTAAAACCTTGAATCAGCTAGACGGCCTGCACAGAGGGCAGCCTTTCCAGCTAATGAAATTAGAACATTAGATGTAACTATAAGAAAGAGACAAACAATGTCCTATAGTCATGTGATGAGAAGAGAGGCACTGGAAACAGAAAAACCAGAGGGGTGACAGCAAATGATGGTACCAGGCAGTATGACTGTATGTAGATCTTGCATTTTCCCTGAGTGTAGACTGTCAGCCAGATCCCCTTGTCCCTCCCTGCTGCCCAATTCTCTTCAGGTGGCGATGATTTAAATTACTGCTAAAGAAATATTAAAAAGTAAATAGTCAGGTATGAGGAATGCCCAGGAGTGTGCCCTGCAGAGGTTATTAGACTTCGTCCCTAATGAATGTGTACTCAAAAGAGAAGGTATGCCAATAATGTACTTTCTACTGAAGCAAACACGCCTGTGTTGGCTAGGACATGTCTCTTGCATGGAGGACATTCGCAATCCAGAAACCAGAAAAAAACACTGTGATAGAGGAAACAGTGTGAAATGATTCTGGAAAAACTAAGATGGTGGCACGAAGGAATACAATCAACAGAAATGATCCTCTATGTGTTGTGTTCCAGAAATTCATTTTGGGAGCAAAAGAATAGCCCAGTTGTACTTTTAATGAAGATTTGCTGACATCAGATGTGGTGGGCCAAAAGATGCAGATATCACAGCCTGGCAGTAAACCACAAGATGATCAAGCGCTCTTTAAACTCTTTCAGTCCCAAACAATGCACCATGTGTGACTGGATCTGCTTGTTTGCTTTTACATTTTATATTTAATCAGGACATGCTAAAACACTCAACAACACACATCTCCCGTAAGGAATGAGTATTTGGACCTTGTGGATGTAGTATACCCAATTTTTTTTTAATGCCACAATTCACTCACTGGGTCGTCAACTAACCTTCTGGATGAAAAAGGTTAAAGCTGAACAAAGAAGAAGAACCAATTCAGAATAGGAGACTACGATCATCAGAAAAACTTAAACACATGTGCTGGTGGAAGCTATAATAATGATAACACAATTAACAATTTACCCTTAAATTTATCACAATTTACCTTTAAATTTATCAAAGGACGGTGGGTATTTCAAGCTGTTGTTGTGTAGTTGTTCTTTGAATGCTGTATAGATCTTATATTCATTGCTGTCCACTGGCCATTCTGGAAGCAATAAAAAAATCAGTATTAAGAAAAAATTAAATCTCAGTTCTGCATGGTACAAACAAAGCTTACTCATCTCACAGATAAGTATTTTATAAACAGCAGCTCAAATCGCAGCTAATATAAGTATAATCAGTAAGCACTAACAATGTTAGGTTACAATAAATCATAACCCTTTCCCCGGTGACCTTAAAAGGTCCTAAACCTAGGAATTTCCGCACAGACAATAAATCTTTAGAGAAAATAAAAAACATTTTACAAAGCTCACTAAAAATGCTGAAATAATTCATTTATATAGATTTAAACATTTTTTAAATATAGTGAAATGGAGGTTAAAAGTAAATTATGACAATGTATTGATCAGGGTTTATAGCTAAATTTACCAATCAATTTCAAGGCTTTTCAAGGTCTTTTTCAAGGTCTCCTTAGATTTTTTCAAGGTTGTCTCGGTGTAATACTGAAACAAGATTTTTGCCTTGTTCAAGGGTGTACCAAGTAACAATGTACTTCATTCGTGCCACACGTGTTGGTATACCAGCACATATATCATCATCATCATGTAGCAGGTCCTTTGTCCTGAAATAAACTAGGTCTCTCGCCAGCTCTCCCGTCTCATGTACTCTATCCTCAAGGAGCCACTTATATCCTGTGCCCATCTTCATGTTGGTCGGACCCTGCGTTTGATATAGTGTTTGAAATTTTTTTTTAAAGACTTGGCGATAGAAGGCAGCAAACTGAAGTCCCGTTTGTTCTGGACCTGGCACCTGAAAGGGTGAAGGGGGAGAGAGAGTCATACAGAGAGGGAGGAAGACACATGCTGAGGTAGGCTGGGAGAGACAGTGTAAAGATGGTCAGATGAAGGTAGAGGAAAGAAGGGAAAGAGTCTGGGGAAGGAGGAAAAAATATGACAACGAGAGGGAGGGATGGAGACATGATGAGGGAAAGTGGGGAAGGGACAGCGAAAGACAGAGAGGGAGACAAATACAGAAAGAGGGAATGCAGATACATAGATAGGCAGTTGGAGAGAGAAGGAAGGAGGGAAAGAAACAGAAATATGGAAGGAGGAAAATATGACAAAGAGAGTTAGAGAAAGGGAGACAGAGGGAGAGAATGGACAGGGAGAGAGGAGATGCAAGCAGAGAGAGATGTAGACATAAAGGAGAGAGAGACAAAGGGACAGCATAGAGAGGCAAGCAGTTAGAGGGAGAGAACCAAAGAAAGAGAAAAAAAAGGCAGAGCAGGAGAATGGGCGGGAGGTATACAAAGAGAAAGTGATGAAGAGAGGCAAACAGACATAAAGCAAGAGAGGGAGAGAGAGATGGGTAAGGAAGGCAGTGACAAACACACATTAAGAGAGAGGGGCAGGAAGGGAGACAATATGGAGAGTGAATAAATATGCAAGAATTGCTAACAAATTTTAACAACACATCAATGAAAAAAAAACAGCTTCATGCTGAAACCCCACCCACTCCCCCAACACAATTTCAAGTGTACTGGACACAACCACTAGGAAAAGATGGTTATGGGGCAACAAAACAAATGTAAAAGAACCAGAAAAAATGTGGGGGAGGGGGAGGGGGGATGAGAGAGAGAGGAGAGGGTGGGAGGGAGGAGGGGATGAGAGAGAGAGGAGAGGGTGGGAGGGAGGAGGGGATGAGAGAGAGAGGAGAGGGTAAGGAAATCTAGAGAAAATGAGAAGACAGGATGGAGAGGAAACAAAGAAAAGATGGGACAGCAGGAAGAGCAAGAGAGAACAGAGTTAGGAAAGGAAGAGAGGAAGGATGGAGAGATAAAGGATAAGAGTGGAAGATCAAAGGAAAAAGTAAGCGGTGAGAGAAGACAGGTAAGACATGGTGGGGGGGGGTGGCGATAAGAACACTGAGACCAAAAATAGAATTAGGAACTAAGTGAGGCCACTTTTCCGGTTCCTACCCTCTCCCAATGTGAATGTGGCCATGGTCCATAAACAGTGCTAACCCCTACCGCCCGATGCTTGTCTAATCTGCTTGTGACAACAATAGTTCCATTTATTTCTGATTTTCCAATTACAGAAAGGGGAGGGAAGAGGAGGTGGTGAAAGGTGGTGTAGAAGGCTATGTTGGTAAGGGTGAGACACAGGAGGTGAGAAAGGTGAGAGAAAGAGAGAAAAGAAAGTTTAAGAAAAGAAAGCAGGGACTGAGACGGAGAGAAAGAAGGGAGAAAGAAATAAGATGAAATATAGAGGGAAGAAGGTAGCAGGAAGGGGTGCACCCCCCCCCCCCATAGGTGTCATCAATGTGGGAGGAGAAAGAGGGGTGACAGCAAATGTGTTTTTAAAAGTACACATATATTAAATATGTGTGTGAGGGAGGGGTAGTGGTGGACATGAAATGTTCTGCACTAGGCAACACATAACCTTCTACGCCAATTAAAGGTATGGAGAAAGAGAGAGAGAGAGGGAGAGAGAGTGGGGGGGGGGGGAGGAAGGGGAGTGGGGGAGAGCGGCAAATACAAAGAGAAAGAGAGAGGAAGGCAGTGACAGACAGTGAGGAACAGGTAGGACAAAATGTGAGGGGGCAGGTAGGGAGATGGGCAGAGATTAAGGCCCGCTGAGAAAACAAACACACATCAAAAGACAATATCCATTGTGTTCACACCGAACCCCCCCCCCCCCCCCCCCCCCGAACTTCCTGTGTATTTGAGTTACTGATTTATAAGTTGTAAAACCAAACCAAGCATTCTCTGGCTTTTTGATTTTGCTATGCAATTTTACGATCAGTAGTTTGCCACAGCTCTCTGAGCAGTTCGGCTCTCAATACCATTGCTGAAATCAACATAAAGCTGTCAGCTGTTATGATAAAGGATAAATTTTTTTTTTTTTAAACTCACCTGTGGAGCTCTTGTAGTGACTTTCACTGATCAAGGCTTGCGCCATTACTCGTCTCATGGCGGCTCCCATGTCACTAAGCGACTGCATGAAGTTGAGGAAGTGCTCCAGGTCACTGATATTCAACACATAGTACTCCCGGGACTGGTGCACTACAACAAATATTGGGAATTACATCTTTCATACGCCAAGCATTTATAAAGCTTTTACATGAATAGCAGACAGGATCATATCATTAGTTCTCTATAACGATAATGTAAGACTGATTGTTATAATATCTGCATTCGTTGTTTACACTTTGGTCTGTTTCATAACTGTTTAGCTATGTAGTAAACTGGTTTCAGAAATCAGATGTCGACAGTCAGTGTCTTTTGGACACGTTAGGAGAAAGAATGAACTCAGGAACATGATAGCAACCGTCAAACTGATGGAAAAAGAGCAGGGAGAAGACAAAAGAAATAAATACTTGGATAGCGTAGCTGTAAAGACTGGGTGGGACAAAAAAATTGGCCAGATCCGTCACTTGTGATCATGTGAGTTGGTGAAAAAGCTTATACTTATTGACATGGCACATGACGATGATAAGCAATGTAGACAGATTATTTACAACAAATTCTTACAAGTGGAGAATCTCTTATTGTGATGCTGATTATAATCATGGCTGTGAACAACTTGAGAAAAGGATACAAGCACTGGAAATTAGATCTTTCAGACAAATTCTTGGCCCATCGTAAGAGACCACATCACAAACGACAAGGTTCACTGTATAATTACCCAGCACATTGGTAACTCCACAGCTACGTTTGTAATTGTTGCTGTGTTTGTTATTCGACATATACTTGGTTCTTATAAATTTCTGTAACCTATGGTGCTATTTTAATGGTTTGAGATGGATTCAGTCCGTATTCCATAGATGTTAATTTCAGGCTGTATGATAGATTTGACCAATGAAGACACCTTTTTAGGGGTGCCTAGCTGGTCATATTCTTAGTGCACTTGTTTCTACAGTGAGGTGCACATACCACTTGGAGGTGACAGGCTCAATTCTTAAAACAACAATTCAATTTGTATGTGGTCTAGTGTGTTCTTTTATCTTTTTACTTCTTTCTGTGAGTGCTAATCAATACATTATCTTTTCGTTTATTTTATGCATATAATATTTCTACTGCCTAAAGGGTTCCCCCCTCTGTTTATTTATGTAACTTAAGCACACAACCATGAAGTCCAATGCATCTCACTGTCAAAGGTGGAGGAAGCTGATCAGATAGTCAGAAGCTGCGGTGACCCAAGAGATGCAGTGCTACAAGATGATGATGATAATTATAACCAGAAGTGTATCACAATAATTAAAGGGATGACAAACAGTAATAAACCCTTATTTTTGGAATTGTCTTTACTAATATTGATACAGACAATATAAAACATTCAGCTATTGATACACACAATATAACACATCCATCTATGAATAACAGACAATATAACACATCCAACTACTGACACAGACAATATAACATACCATCTACTGATAAAGACAATATAACACATCCATCTACTGGTACAGACTAGATAACCCTTTCATTTACAGATGAGATACATGTATGAGATATATACTTGCACTGCCTACTATTGATGATAATACTTGCCCTGCCTACTATTGCTGACAGGCGCAAAGTTCTGAAGGCAAATTCATATCTCAGAGTAGCTGCAGATAAGAAGTACCTCCTGCATGAAGCCCTGGGTAGAGCTAAGGGTCACAGACTAAAAAGAGGAAGGTCTTGGATGGCGCAAGCTGAAGACACAGTTGGACATGTGTGCAGACTCGATAAATTTAAGCTAGGAGAGGAGTGGGTCAAAGTCTCCAAGCACATTTCAGGTGTGTGCAGGTTTTTTTTTCTCTTTGGGTCATGAGTGTAGGGACTGGCCAGCTGGCGCTGCAAAATTAGAAGTTCAACAAATGATTCATTACAATTCCCGCCCAAGTGATGTGATTATCTATATAGATGGCTCTGTGTTGAGGGGCAGACGAAGTGCATGGAGGTTCATAGCAAAAGTGAATGGACGTCGCTTGATGCAGCAAAGCCTAGCATATGATATCCCAACATCTAGTTTGAGAATGGAGGTGGAGGCAGTTTCTGCTGCCTTCTGCTGGCTTGAGAATCAGCTGTGCACACATGCCGTGATTGTAACTGACTCATAGAGTATGTTGAAAAAGGTGGAGACAGGCATGCTCTGTGCAAGCATCACTTCAGAGGTCCTGGGTAGTTTGCATCCTTTGGATATTTTTTCCAGGTTATGCCGGTGTGTTAGGAAATGAGCAGGCAGATAGACCGGCTGGTTCTTCACTGTTTGGTGGCCAACTGATGTATGATAAGCTGGATGTTGTGAGGGCTCTTTGGAAGTGATTGAACAGTGCGGAGGCACAGATAGATTATTACGGTCTGCAAAGAGTTACAAGGGGATCTGGCTGGCGCTCAACACTAAGAGGAAAGGCGAGATGCATATACAATCAGACAGTTACCGGTGCCATCGGAATCGGAACTCTTCACTTGCTGCTGAAGATGGGGACACAGCATTTACGGGTGTGTTCTGAGTGCTGTGATGTTGATTCTTAATTCAACATTTAACATTTCCAGATACAGATAATATAACACATTTGTTGATACAAATAATTAACCCACCTATCCCCTGATACTGACATTATTTAAAGGTTAACATTCATTGTGGTTGCTATGAAGCAAGCCAATGGGAAGCAAAAGGTAAATAATGACTTACACTGAGACACAAACTGTTCCCGTAAATGGTAGAGAAGCCGCAAGAACAGCCTTGGTATCATATCCTTGGCCACAGCCATTAGTTCAGCTGGAGCTTGCGGAGCAGACCTGTTTTCTGGGTGCTCACCATGGCGTGGACAAAATCTGTCCAGAAAATGTACAATGTTCACAAATTGTACAAAACACACCACTGAGTATAAGGAGAACAAGATGATTTTAGTGTAGATGATAATTATCTTTGTCCTAGCAATGTACCATGTATCTAGTATTCTGTGTGGATACCAGTCAGTGTGGCATACCTGATCATCATTCTTATGATATTTAGATATTAAAATTTAATAACATATTTATTTGTCTACCTGGTCATTGTATACATGTTTATAAACAACTAAGGAGTCCTCTTCAACACAATTCCCACAGGAGTTCTATGACCCAGTTTAGAGACAAGCATTTAATGAAAGGTAACTAACTGTGGTGTTTCAGCAAAGATGTACATCTACCTAAGAGGTAAGGAATTAAAAGTCTACAAACAAATAAGCCAGATCTGTAAAGTGGATGTGCACACAAAACTGAAGTTTTGGAACAAGATCAAAGTCCAGAAGTGGGTGAACAACCAGAACTTTCTTCCGCAGTTTACAGCTGATGAACATGAAGAAATTCAACAGAAATACAAAAGACTGATGGCCATAGCAATGTAGAGATTAAACACACCCAAAAGCCTATGTTTTAGTAAGTAACAGCAAGCAAAACAAAAATTCTAAAAGCATGCAAACAGTAACATACAAAACAGGATCACAAACAGCAGCTTGTATCAGAAACAGAACTACTACTTTAACAATATCAAACTTCACAATGGCTTGTAAAGAGCAGTGATCAAGGGCCTTATAAAAAAATAACAAAGGCAGGGGCCGACCGGCATGAAGGGAGGCACGAGACACTCAGGATAGAAAAGAGCAGACGGCAGAAGAACTGGTGAGAGAGCCAGTTTATTCAGGAGGGTTTTAATGAGAGGGATGTTCTGTAAAGGAGCTGCTACAAGATACTTGTCTATATTAAGCGACTGGGGCCACCTGTGTTATTACCTCATTGGATAGTTGGTATGGCCTACTGGAAATGAATGAGTCAAATACAAAAGATAACCACATGGGGACCATTCAGCTGTGAAATGATACATAACAATTATATAAGTCCATGGTATATGTGTTACAGCTTGATGACCTTGACTTCACTTATGATATTTTTCTTTTACCCCACTCAAAAATTCAGTTACAAGACGTTTTAAACATACTTGATATCGGATATTCATGACACAACATCCCAGAAAAACAAAACTCACCCTTCAGGTCTCATTACACTAGAATCTCCACAATCACAAGCGCCCCCCGCCTGGCTACGAAACATGTTGTAGTCGTGGCCTTCGTGGTTGCCAGCTTGGAAGCAGTCCGAGCAAATGGACATACAGGGTGAAATGCCACAAGTCCGACAGCGGTATGCTACAAAGTTTGCTGTCCACACCAGTCCGCACATAACTGAGCTGTCATATTCCTGCACTAAGAAAGCAGATTAAAAACAAGAAGACAATTTAAAATGTGTGCGCAATATTTTAAGCTCAGTATAGGAGAATACAAGGCTAACCATATAAAATTAACACCTGTGAGATGAAATGCCTAAGAAAAGATGCCAGCTTAAACATCAGAGATAGAGTTAGATATGATATTATCAGACAGACTGTGGAAACATCACCATGCAGCAAATTTACTGAGACACACAAGATGAAACAGTTTGTTCATCTACTACAAATGCAGCCTGACTCTTTTTTGGGGTCGAAAGACCCTTCACACGGATCAGCTAAACTATCGCAAAACACATATTCATTGAAGTTATGAAGGAAAATAATTGTTTGGTGGTCGCCACAACATGAGGGAACTGTATTAAAGGGTTGTGGTATTAGGAAGTTCGAGAGCCATTGCTATAAAGGGATTTGAATGAGTTGGTTGGGAGCCTATGCTCCACTGAGAGATAAAAGGTAGAAGTAAAATAGCATATATTTGCTCTAAAAGAGAGTTAACAGGAGTATTTTTAGAACAATAGATATCTTTAGTCAAAGTGAGTTGAAAACTGGAGCAAACACTGTCATCACTCTCTGTATTTGCTACTTTACCTGTGTAGGCAGAGGTTTCTGAGCCTCAGGATTTAGGGTTACATGAACTGGGACAAAAGAAGGCCAAACCTAGCAAACGGAAAGTAGAGCTGGTTAAAGTAAAAACTACTTGGGTCAGAAGGAAAGCA